GGTCTTTGTATCTGGAGCCAGATGTAGAGTAGTGGTTTGTTATGGGAAGGAAGGGGTGAAGGGAATTCCAGGTAGATTAAAGGCATGTTGTCAGTCCATTAACTAATGTTTATGAGGTTTTGCCGTGTGCCAAGTACTTTGCTAGGTGCCAGGAGTAGACAGTAGGTTGATTTGGCTGGAAGGGGGAGCATGTGGGGCAGGAAGTCATTGGAGTAAGGATGGAGAGGAGAGCTGTACCACAGATCTTCTGGAACTGGCTAAAGAGCCTGCCTTTTAACCTGGAGGCCAAGGGAGGCCTCTGAACGGTTTTTAAGCAAGTAAATGCTGGAGCAAGGTTTGGTTCTAGATGAGGAAGATATCTATGAACAGATATGAACAGATTCATGGGATATACTGTTAAGTGAAAAAAAAATGTATAAAAGACTATCTACAATGTGCTACCTTTTGTATGCTGAAGAAGAGGAAGTAAGAAAACATCCCTATATCTGCTCACTGGTGTGAAAATAAACAGGAAAGATAAACCAAAAACCATAAGCAGTAGATGGGAACAAGATGGAAAGGAGGGGGATGGGAACAGAGTTAAGGGAATGGGGGAAAGCAAGGCTTCCCTGAAGATACCTTTTTGTATGGTTCTGACTTTTGAAACCATAGTAATAAAGAATCAGTGGAAATGGAGAAAAAAAACCCTACAGTGAAATACAAACAGGAATGAATGGGAGTAGGAAAGAACTAACCTAAGAAACTTTTTCAAAGTAGTATTTTGAGTATATGCTGTTCGCTGAAGACAAAGGAACTATAAATAAATCTTGAACTCTGTTTTCCACAGAGATGTAGCTAGCACTTCTGAAACTACTTTCGGTATATTTTAGGATTGAGAAAATAAGTATATTGTAGATCATGGAAACAGAACTTGCTGTAGAAGGGAGTTTAACAATATGGAATGAGAGTAGGCTACAATTGACACTGTAGTGTATGCATATGAACTTGGGGTTTTTAACAATGGATGGTGGGTGGACTGATGGATCAGTGGATGGATGGATAGAAAGATAGATAGCCAGAGATGACATGTGTGTGTGTGTGTGTGTGTATGCGTGCATATGCTTCCCAGCTCTGTCCCTGATAGGGCCCAGAAGCAGTGACACCTCAGTAGCAATGAGCATACCTAGTGCCCAAACCTTGGTTTCAAATACCATTCTCCACTAAAAGGAATCGGCTCTTTGGAGGAATGACTGACTTCAGGACTAGTACTGAGGAAGTGCAAGATGAGCCTGAAATATTTTGTAGTACCAGAAAATAAAGATGTGATCAAAGAATGATAGGAATATGTCTAAGAACAAGGAATCACCTTGAATGAGCTTGCACAAACCAAATCTGGGACAATTTGAGAATCAAAAAGGATAATGATGATAATGGATTATAACCCATTGAATAAGGTAGGAATCCATGAATATAAGTAAATATATTATATGTAAAAGTAATATACATTTATACTTATATAGTATGTATATTTATATAAACACTTTCTATATTTATAGTATATGTAGTATTTATAGTATAAAGAAAGTATAGTATAGTATAGTATAGTATAGTATAAAGAAATAAAGAAGGGAAAGCTCTTTCTCACAGTAGAATCCCAACTAGTAAGTATAGAAGGGAGGATGGAATTACAAAGTTACTATTATAGTAGTAATTAATCCAGGCGAGAATCATCAGTGGGTGCTAAAACCAGTGGAGAAAATTTTGATGAGGAATTACAAAACTACAACCACCTGCAGCAGGATAAGCTCAAGTTCAGGTATCTACGGCACAACACAAAGACTTTGCAGCCAACTGCTCTCAACTGATTAAGCTATATTGCTAAGGGCTGTATTTGCAATAGGATGATAACAGTAACTATTTATTGAGTGCCCACTGTGTGACAGGCATTATGCTAGGTAGGGTTTGGGGTTGGGGGTTATGTTTTTGCATATATTAACTCACTTGATCCTAACACTAACTCAGTGAGATTTTTTATTAGTCATTCCTATTTTTAAGATGAGGAAACCAAGGTTCAAGAAATGAAAAATTTATCTAAAGTCAAATAGCTAATAAGAGGCAGAGCCAGGATGCACATCCCCTGCCTTCTGATTTCAGGTTCTGTGCTGTTCTATCATGTAGTGTGTCTCTGGGTCCTCTTAGAGTTCTGAGCTTCTGAAAGTGTGCAGAATGATAAGATCAGAGAGGCATTCTTAAACAAAAGCATTGGGTGGTGCCTTCTTTCTCCTCATCATATTTACTAAACAGCTTGCCTCATTTGCCTTGTCTAAAAATAGGGAAGGCAGTGCTTAATTTACATGGTTATTATGAGGACTAAATTAGGTAATATATGTAAAGCATATAGCACAGTGTAAAATAAGTGTCCAGCAGCAGTGTTAATACCAGTGAGTGCTGAATTCCCTTGTATGATGGAAAATGTTTCCAAAGGTCTTGCTTTTGGACTGAATTGATAATCAAAGGCCAGAGCATAAAAAGCTTTTGTGTATCATGAAAAGAAGATTACATTTTATTCTATAGACAGTAGAAGCCAGTGAAGAATTTTATTACCAGGGAAGATGTGATTTGATTGGCAATTTAGAGTGGACCAAGGGGAAGAAAGCAAAACCCAAGGCAGGGAGACCAGCAGGTGGCTGTTGTCAGAGACAAGGCAAGAGGAGATGAGGGTCTGAGTTAACAAAGCAACTGGCATGATAGAGCAGAGGGAACACACATGGACAGTCATACTCCCAGGCTGGTGCCTGGGTTTGGCAGGAAAGAGTGAGGAGCTTAGACTCAGCCTCAGACCTCTGGCCTGAGTATTGACTCTCTTCTTGGGCATGACCAGAATACAGAAGAGGGGCAGGTTGGGTGGGAAGGTGCTGCTCAGGGTCATTTGGGACTTACATCTCCTGGGAGTCCCAGGAGACAGTTGGGTCTGCAGATCTGGACTGAGGAGAGAGTGCAGGGCTGGAGCAGCGTGCCTGGGAGTCGTTGAAGCTGTGGAGGCAGATGAGGTCCCTCAGGGAAGGGATGTATTGTGAGGAGAGGGCTGAGGATAGGATTTTTGAAAACACCCAGTTTTTAACAATGGCAAAAGAAGAAATAGGGGGAGACTGAGGAGGAACACTTAGAAAGAGAGGTTCCAGGGGGTTGTTTTCTGACAAGTCCAAGGCTGCAGAGAGAGCACTGGGTCACTGGTTTTGACCTTAGAAATAAAACAGCCAGTTATTTTACAGCAAAAAAAGAAAAAAAAGGGTCTACTTGGGAATAGTGGAGGAATTGCAATTCGGGACAAACAGCTATAGTTTATTATAGGCAAGTCCAGCATACAAAGGAGAAGAACGTTGTTTTATGTAGAAAAAGGAAGAAGCTGGGAGAGGATGTTTTAAACAGAAGTCTGTTGGAGAAAAGTGAGAGTTTGGGGTGATGACGGTTACTCATTGGTTGAGTTGCTGGGGTAGTCAGTTTCTTGTAGGAAGTGCAATGTACATCATCTCCTGGGGGGGCCTGTAATTGATGACTCTTTCCTGTTGATTCTTCTGTTGGGGGCTATAATTCCTCCTGAAATTGTGGTACTGCATGAGAGCGCCCCCTTCTGGTTTCCCTACTCCATTTCAGTGAGGTTTCCTTTTACTAATACGCTGGAAACCATGGTGAGAGCCAGTGCCAAAGAGCAGAATCCAGTTGGCCAGCAGATTAAGAAAACAATTAGTTTTTTTTCAGGAGAGAAGCTAGAACTTGAATGCTTCCAGAGATACAGGCATCTCGTTCCCTTGCCATGCATTGTCTCCTGCTGTTGGAGATCTGACTGATGAAAGGTCTTCCTTACAGAGGATCTCCTTATAGGAGGTCTCCCGCCAGCATTTTCCCTCAGCTCTAATTCAGCCCTCCAGGTCCACACCAACCAAGTCTATCTGCTACTCCAGAGGACTGTCCAAGTCTGCCTCCTCACCGGGTCATCTCACCCAGCCCCTCCACCATTCCTCATATACTCCAGGCTCCCCAGACTTGCCTTAAAGCCTGACTGTCTATGATGGATCCTCTCTTATCAACACTGGGCTTGTTCTTTGGTAGCATTGGTCTTTATTTCCCATCCTATTAAGTTTGTGGCTTTCCAACGTCTTTTTAACCTCAACTCGAAATAAGAAATACATTCTACATTATGATAGGTGTGCACATGCATGTCTAACTGGAAGGAGATGCCCTCTTGTTTTCAACTCCATTTCATTCCATTCTGTGCTGTTCTATTTCATGTTTTTAAATGCTAGTCTTGGCCCAACATGTTAACTTTACAACCCACTAAACTGATTTAATGACTGATGGTGGGACTGACGGAGTCACCATGCCAGGAGGGGCTCAAAGGAAACGATGTTAAGTGTTAGTCTGAATCCATCCCTCTTCGCTCCCTCAGGCTCCTCCGCACTGGGGCCAGCAGGCTTTCCCTCTAATTGTTTCTGTCCTTCTGAGAGGAGAAAAAGCTGCTTCAGTCACTAGGATGTTAGCCAGCTTTGAGGAGGGGTGGGTATTTGAATTTCCAGAGTGACTCAGTGACTCATCAGAGGAAAGTAAGCCCAGCTCTAATGGTGAAATTTAGAAGTCAGCGGAGGAGAGACTGGCTTACCTTTCAAATCACGCCACTGTCCCTGTACTCACTCATGAGATGTCTGATGGCCTGAGCCACTTTCATACCTAGAGGATACCCTTAGGTGGCCCTACTACTGCCTCTCACATGAGACATTTTAAACTTCCCAGAGTTTAGGAGTATGGCTACCTCTTCATACTGGCCACCCAACCCCCACCCCAGCCAGACTGGTCTGTATGTCTGTCCTCTTCTGACTTCCCTGAAAGAACATCCCCCATCTATTGAGAACAAATGCCTTCTATAGAGCTTTCTCAAAGATCACTTGGGGATTTTTTTTTAACAAGAAAAATGACTTATGCATTTTCACATTCTCATTCACAATGTCTTTTCTACTTCCGCCCAGGAGGAGCAGAGACTTCTGAATTTACCTTGTCTACAGACTGAAGGATGTTTCCTGAGAAATATCAGAGGTCTTCATCTGCTGAAAGGTGCCCGCAGCTGCCGTAGACACTTGGGTCCTTGAGAAGTCTCCTGAAGGGCTTGTCTATTGTGTACCTGCAATGAACCAAGCCCCAGGCTGGGCCTCGGCTTTAGCCTGGTGAACAAAACTCTGTCCCTAACCTCACGTGCTCACATCTAGCAAAGATGAGTGAAGAACGGTGGGTCTCCCTCACTCCAGAAGAATTTGGCCAACTCCAGAAATACACAGAATGTGAGTAAATGGATTGACCCACCTGGGGTGGGATTTCCTCTTGGTCAGGGAGAGCTTTTCTGGACAGCAGAGTAATATAATCATTGCAGAGCACCGAGAATGAGATCAGGCCTGACAGCTTATGTTTCTTTATAAACACAGAATTTGTATCTTTAAACATAAGAACACAATTATCTTTATGCTCTATAAATGATACATGCTCTATAAATGATACATGATAATTTAGAATATACAGGGGAGAAAAATAAAGATAGGTTAAAAATCACGGGTAAACTCTGCACATTTTGGAACATTCTCATCCTGTGCATATCGCGTGACTTGGTTGAGCTCCTGAAGATACCCTTTTTTTTCCAGTCTGTATTTTTCACATCATATAATACTGTAAGGATTTTCTCAGGTCATCAAAACCTCTTTATAGCATAATTTTTGAAGGACTGCAGACTGCTTGGTTACAATGTTAGTCATTTTCTTTAATATACTCTTGAGCTTGGATCCAATGCCTTCTTTCTGTAAGATGCAGAATTCTGATGCGTGTCTCTTTCTTGACTTTGTGCTGGAGCAGCCTGGGCTTTCACGTGGGACTCTTGGGTTTGCCAGTTGTACCTAGGAGTAGTCTCAGTGCATCAAGACACAGTGGTGATGAGGCCCATGTCCACATGCAGGTGCATTGCTGTGTGCCCTGCCTCCATGGGCCACTCCTAATCCTGACTGGTGACAGGAGTCTGCCCAGGCTGACCGCTGCACTCTGCACACACCTAGTGTGCATCATGATTATGCAACAGCACTGAGTTTTATGAGCCTTCCGTCTTGTGGAGCCCTCCACTGCGCTGCTGACTGTACCCCATTGTCCTAACCGCTCTCCCCTCATTAACTGTGCTGGCGCTTGGTAAGTCACTGGGCTGTAGCATAGTGACCTGCCATACTGAGCTTGCTCAGGTCATCCTCTGATACCCTTTAGGCAGTCTGCCCCCCACCCCACAGGGCAGGCAGCCTTTCCACAGCACTGGTCTGAGAATTAGGGGATCGGGTTCAGTGCCAGCTCCAGCTCTCGCTCTGTGATGTAACAGAGCTTAACCCATCCCACCCTTCACGTCACCCAACCCCCACGCCCCTAACCTCAGCGTCCTCTTATGCAGAATGAGAGGGCTGGCCCAGATGCTATCTCCCTGTGGTTACTCTGGGCGTAACACCCCGTGACCCCCATGTGCCCCCCTGTAGAGCTACTGGATGGTCTTCCCCTGGTACCCTGGAGCCCGTGGCCTCTTGTCTGACTGTACTAGGTTTAAAGAAACTCTGCAATGTATTGACGAGGAGCAAGGAATCACCCTCCAGGGTAAACTCCATCTAATTCAGCCTACTCCATGGGTCAGCAAACTACCAGGCCGTGTCAGGGATGAAAAAGAAGTGCAGAGAAAAGGCTTGTCCCTAAGGAATTGGAATCTTGTTAGGGAGTCAGAAATGTGCTTGTGACACAAGCAGAGAAGAGGTTTAAGGCAGCAGGGAGACACCTCTGGCAGAGATGGCGAAACTGAGTGCACAAACGAGTAGAGAATTTAGAGCTGGGGGAAGTTGATATGAGTGGCTTAGAACAGCAAAAAGGCTCTCACAGTTCTGGAGCCTAGGAGTCCAAAATCAGATTGTCGGCTGGGTGGGTTCCTTCTGAGCGCTGGGGGAGAAGGACCTGCTCCCGGCCTGTCCTTTGGGCTGTCTTTTGTTTCTTCATACGGCGGTCCCCTGTGTGTGTGTGTGTGTCCCGTTTCCCTCTGTATACGGACACAGTCGTATTGGACTGGGCCCACCCTGTTCCAGTATGGCCTCATCTGAGCTAATTACATCTGCAGTGACCCTGTTTCCGATAGAGTCACACTCTGAGGTACCGCGGGATTAGGACTTCAACATACAAATTTGCAGGGGCTACAATTTAACGCACAACAGAGGTGTTAGCTGGGCAACTCTACAGAGGAAAGAAGTTTAAAATGTGAGTAGTAGATGGTGGCAGTGGGTAGAAACAGTGGAAGCACAGGTGGAGGGGTCCAGAGAGAGAGGGTGTCTGAGGGGCAGTAAGGAGGACTTCTGGGCCAGATGGAGAGAAGGAGCAGGTGGGTGGGGAGGGGGCATGGGAGGGACGGGGACAGCAGAAGGGCCCTGCATATCAAGGCATGGCCTTTGGACCGAGGTGGCAAAATGTAGAGCCATGCGTCTGGTGGCTGTGTGCAAGGTGGCCTGGAGGAGGGAGCTGCCAGGTCAGGGAGGTCCGAAGTCCTTGGGATGAATCTAGCGTGAGCACAGGCTCAGAGCTAAGATGGGGACTGTGGCAATGAACGAATGCCGATTTGTGGGAGATTGCTGTGGAAGTATCACCAAAACTTACGGAGCAAAGTGAAGCCAGCAAAGATACCTCAAGGCCTGGGACTCTGTGGAAGGTAACGGACAGAGGAGGCCAAATGTGGCAAAGCCATTGAGGCGGCAGGGGTGAAAAGAACCAGAGTATTGGATAGGAAATGGCTCCTTTGTGGTTTTTTTTCAACCATCAGCCTTGTCCTCTGACCCATCCTCGTATTGTCCATGTCCCAGAACTGGGTGAGGGGCTTGGACACCAGTGTTCTAACAAGAGAGGGAAAAAAAGGTACAATTCTTGGAAAATGATTAATCCTCAGAGGAAACCCAGAAAAAGGCACCTCTACCAATTTTAGACACATTCTGGCATTCAGTCAGATTGCATTGCCATAGCAACCGCTCTTCCCTCACCATGAAAACAGGAGCTTGACAATAGCCAAATAACTGAAGTGCATAGCCTGAGAGCTGGGAACTTTCTCCATTGGGTTCCAGGTCAGAGAAGCCAGGAGTGTCAAGACGAGAGGCTTTTGGCATGTTCTGTTTAAGTAACACAAACCCTACACCTTCTCTGGTGACTTCTCTCAGGGGAGAAGCCATGTTAAATTCCCCTTGGGGATATTATATATATAATGGAGTTGACAGTAAGCTTAATGTGAATTGAGTGTAAAGTGCTTGTTAAAAAAGATAGCATGATACTAAGAATTTTTTGTTACAAAATAAAAGCAGGTGTAAACATTTCAGAAAACAGAAAGATGAAATTTCAAGCTGCTCATGGTCCTCTCTCCCAGCAATAACCACGACTAGTGTGTTTGTGTATAAATATAAATATTAAAATACACATACCCCTACACATATATACATATGTGTATTTTAAGAACAAACATGTAGGCTATTTGGTGTGCTGTTTCTTCACCCTAACAATGTGTCTCTGTTATCTGTTGCTGCATCAAAACAACATCAAAGCTTGATGAGTTATGACAACCAACCACTTGGGGTTTTTCCTGTGGTTCTGTGGCTGGGGCATCTGGACGGACCACAGTAGGAGGACAAGTTCCTGTTGCACGGTGTTTAGAGCTTCAGCCAGGATGCCTCACGTGACCCAGCGTGGCGGGTTCACTCACAACTGGTACCTCATGCGCCTACGGGGGCCTGTCCCTCCAAGTGCTTGCTCATCTCCCAGGACCTCTCCCTGTGGCCTGTCTTGCCAGCAGGGTAGCCTGGACTTTGTACATGTGGCTCAGGGCTCCAGGAGCACACAAGGGGCAGCAGGCCTTTTTAACACTTGGGCTCAGAGGTCCTAGAACGTAACTCTCTCCACATTCCATTGGCCAAAGTAGTCACAGGTATGGCCCAGATTCGGTGAGTGGAGGAATGGATGCCACATCTCATGGGACAGTGGCTCACACAGGAAGGAGGAAAACTGACTCTAGCCATCTCCGGAGACTACCTCGTACACAGTATGTCCTGAGTTGTTCCCGTATCATCCAGTAGTTTTCAGAAGCATGGCTTTAATGGCTGCAGAGATTTCTTTTGAGTACATACACATTATTTTATTTAATCAAGTCACTGATTGTGACCTTAGGATGTATTATTAGATTCATAGTGTCTAGTAAGACTACTGATATCCACATTCTACCCCAACCCTGATCAGACCTCTCTAGAAAACTGAATTTATTTCTGGGCACCACCATTTCCAATGGATGTGGACAAACTGGGACTTGTTTGAGAAGTGCCACCAGCATGGTGAGGGGCCTCACAGCCTGGTTATGAAGCAATGGGTGAAAATACTAGACATATTTGCTAGAAAAGGGAAAATTCAGGGAACGGTGAGGGAAAGCTAGTTGTATTAAAATAGCTACAGCGCTCTGTGGGAGGAGGTGTAAAGTTAATTTTGAACAGCTTCAAGAAGTAGCCCTAGGACTAATGGGAGAAAAATCATTGGAAGAAAGACTAGTTTAAAGTAAGGAATACAATGATTCCTAATGGTCAAACCTGCCCAGTATGGAATAGAATTGACCCAAAGCGACTGAGTTTCCTTTCCCCAGAACTGCCTGGCAGACACAATAGGGGAGGTTAGAGCATCAGATGTCCGGTTGATTGAATGACCTTCATTAACTCTACCACTACTTAGTTTCTATATTTAAATAGATTTCTTTTCAACCTCAGAGGGCATGAGAATGTGAGGATACCCCCTACTTACCCTCCCCTAACAGCTTCAGAGATATAATTGGCTTATTGTCCTAATCCTGACATTTGGTGTGTGTGTGGCAGTGGTGTAATTTTTCCCGTGATTTATCAAGGACAGAAACTATCAGTTTATTCATAAAGGGGAAAAAGAAAAAAACTGATAAAACATCCATTTTTACTGGTAATTCTCTAAGAAATTAAACCAAGTATTTCCTACATCAGCTAGTGGTTGCTTGATTTTGTAGCCTTTTTAAAGCTAGGAGAGATCTTAGCCATGGTCAAGTCCAACTACTACCCATTTTACAAGTAAGAACACTGAAGCCGGAAGACTTGCCCAAAGTCGCCCAGAAAGTCAGCGGCAGAATAAGAATCAGAACCAAAATTTTCAAGTTCCGGGTCAAATTCAGTTTGCTTCAATTTAGTTCCAGCAAATTAATTAGAAAGTACTCATTGGAGCTCAACCTCCAACCATGCATTTTAAAGAAAAAAACCCATTATATATGTTAATTAAATTACAATAGAACAAAATTTAAAAGACATTTTAAAAAGAATGAATCAGTAAAGTGTGCTGTCCAGAAACTTATTTCATTAGAATGAGATCAAAGGCATGACTTTAAGATGTAGGTAATTTATAGCTCAGAATTCAAATCTGTCAGTGTTAGTATAGGAGTCAGAGAAAATGTTTAGGACTGATTTGTCGAACAAAGTTAGGCTGTAAGTAAGCGCCATTGAAACTTTGCTGTTTATATTGATCAGTATAATGAGATTTAATCAATGTTCATGGAATCCTGGGCCCATGAAGGGTCGTGTCTAGTTGCTTCCATCTTGGAAAGGATCATTACAGCTACTTCTCACCCACATCTCTTTCTGTACAATTGGCCTTTTCATTAGTGATGACTGGAACTCTGCCCACAAGTGGTCACAGTATGTATGGATAGGGAGAGACTGCTATAGAAGAATGGCTTTCCAAGGTGAATGTGCACAGAATCTCCTGGATTCTGTTAAAATGCAGATTCTGAATCAGGAGATCTGGGGTAGTTCTGAGATTCTGCATTTCTATCAAGCTCCCAGGCTATGCTGTTACATCTTGTCCAGGGACTGCAATTTTACTTGCAAGAAGGTTCAGACTAATACATTCCTCTACTATGGCTGATGAGGCCAAATTATTTGGAGGAAAAGTGGGAAATCTTGCTAGCAATGCAAATTTTACTTATACAAATAAGCCTTACCAGTCATTCAGATCATTTATGGTAAATCGAAAATCTTAGTATCCTGGAGGCTTTTCCTTATCAGCCAAATGTCCCTCTACTTCAACGTAAAGTGTTTTTCCCTTGTTCTGTATGTAACACTGTTGCAAGGCTGTCACTTCCACAGTTCCCCCCAGTAGTTAGCTTGGTCCTCAGTCTTGGCTCCATGTTGGAAATACCGGGGAGGCTTTGAACACTTCTGGTGTCCTGCCCACACTCCCTCCTGTCACCCCTGAACCATTTAATCATAATCTGTAGGTGTGGGACCCAGACATCAGTAGTGTTTAAAGCTCCTCAGGTGATTCCAACATGCAGCCACGATTGAGAACCACTGATCTACCTTTTCTCCCTATGCCCCTGGAAATTATAGGACCTATGGAACAAACGTGGCAAGCCCAATTTCCTTTCTAGCCCTCATTTATCCAAAAATGTTTATTGAACATCTGTTTTATACCAGGCAATGGACTACATGCTGAGGATAAGCAGTGAACAGGAGAAGACGTGTAACTGGGGGAATGTGTGAGTGCTTATGAGGCTGGACTTCTTAGACATACTTCCCACATTCCACTCTGGGGCCTGGCTCCTGCTGGCTGCAAAGGTGGGCCTTTCGAAGCAGTGCTGCTAGCCTGGCATCTCTGTTCTGACATCATCCTTTTCAGGACCCTTGGAGAACCCCATTCTTGTTTTTGTGCATCTCGCTGTGTTCTTGACTCTCTGGAGTACTTAGAAGACTTATTCATACATCCCATCCTTCACTGGAAGAAGGAAACTCTGGATATTTTTTCCCCCTCATGTGCTAACTTTCCCTTTTCCCTCTCTCTGTGTCTTTCCTTCCCTGGGATGAGAGTCATTCATGATCTTTCCAATCTGTGGAATATGTTCCTTTAGGCTCAGCAGCATGTTTTTTCCTGTGTTATGACAGGCAAGCCACAGAGATACAGGAATGTTGCTTCAGGTCTGCTCATGAAAAGTGAGGTCCATGGACCAGCATAATCGGTGTCACCTAAGATCTCACTTGAAATGCAGAATCTCAGGCCCTGATCCAGACCTACTAAATCAGAATCTGCATTTAAACCTCATCCCCATGCATGTTACAGTTGGAGATGATCTTAGGGAACTTTGAGAAATGGAGAGTTAATCATGTACCTTAGAATTTCACTCTCATCTACAGGTTTTCAGACTCACTTTTTAAAGTGTTGATTTATAGTTATTTCAAAGTTTAATGGTCTGGCTAGTGCTCAGATATTCGGTGCTCCTAACTAGAAGACGGTCCATTAACTTTGGGTCCTGGTTCAGGCAGCACAGCTGACATTCTGCTCTAAACACTGAAGCTCCTGATTTGTCTGCTTGTTCAGATAGAGAACATCCCTGTCCCACACAAACATAGCAGCAAAGATGTCTGTGAGTAGCGCCAAATTTTCTCCTTAAAAAGGCTTTGAATTCGCTCAAACACTAGGAACAAGTGCTTGGTTGAGGTCCCGGAATTCTTGGCATCAAGAAACAATTTCAAACTGAAGCTTCTTAGGGCAGTTGTTACCGCCGGCAACCTTGAGCAGAGACGAGCCTTCTAAATCTCTGATTTGGGATAAAACTGCATGCTGATGGTCCCGCCAGGGTGAGTTAGTGCAAAATGTGTCCTTACTTTGCCAAGCAGCTGAATAAGGTGACCTGCTGGGTGGAGTGCTTTAGTGCTGCCCACTTAAAAGATGGGGAACATTGACCAAGCACAACGATTTTAGATTTAGCAGAATTACAATCTTTATTTTCTTCTTTTGCAGTGATTATCCAACAAGTTCAGCAGCTTCCTAAGACAGTCTTCATGTCTAACAATAAAACCACCTTATAGAATTGCAGTTCTCAACCTTGACTGTATATCTGAACCCCCAGAAGCTTTTAAAATATACTGATTCCTAGATCCCCCAAGAAATGCTGACTTAATTAGTCTAGGATGAGGCCTGGGTTTCAATGCATATAGGGATCCTCAGGTGATTTTAACACACAGCCATATTAGAGAGCGACTCTAACAGAGGAAGGACCTTATCTTCTGATTTACCAGTATTTGTGTATCCAAGAAATCTAATGACTGTGTCACATTATTGTATATATTTAAAAATAAGAGTGACTCATTCACTCACTAGCTCTGTGCTCTTGAAGGAATCATTTAATTTCCTTAAACTTCAGTTTCCCCTTCTCTAAAATAGGGCTAACTCTTATATTAGGGGGTAGTTGTGGGGTTTTAAATAAAATGCAGAAAGTGACTAGAACAGTGCTTGGCACATAGCAAGTACGCAACAAAATAGGAGATGCTGCCAAGAACTGTGGACATGACCCTACCTTGCACACTTAGAAATGGAACTTTATCTCCTGTGGGTCTGGTGGTAGTGTTACAACACAGGCTTGGACAGGGCAGCCTCTACTGAGGTTGTGCTCTTTGGCCCACAGATGACACCTGAAGTAAGACTAGGGAGTTCTCTGAAGAAGCCCATCTTTGCTTTTAAATGTCTTCAGACAAATGGTATGGAGCAGTGTCCACTTACTCCTCAGGGAAAGAGAAACCCAGCCCAGAAATCTGTTGAGAAGAAAACTGTGATAAAGTATCAAAGGACCTCCAAGGAGAAAGTAGTGGGCCTCAAATCTGAAGACTAGATTGTCTCCCTTTATTGGAAGGGAAAGGTGTTGGTCTTACTAACTCATAGAAACCCATAAAACAGACTGAAGTAAATGTGTGGTGAGGAACACCCCTCATGGAAATCTAGGAGCCAGCAATCTCTTGGATTGCTTGTTTCCTATTTAATTTTAGGCTAGTGATCAGAGATTTTTAAATAAACACCTTTCCTACTTTTTCTTTTTAAAAACTGTTTACCTGAATGTGTACATGTGATGGAGATATGAGTTCATGTGTTTATATGTAAAACATGTATACACCTATGTCTGTATAAATATACACATCATACATTTAAATATAAAATAAGATTAACTCAATAGCACTTTAGAACCAAAGGATTTCTGCTCGGATGAACTGTAGAGTCTCTAAAATATGACAATAACATCCAAAGAGCATAAATTCAAGTGAAATCACTCCCTTGGTTCTCAATCAAAACGCTGGCTTAGACTAGTGCTGCAGAAGCCACACCAGGAAGACCTATGCTCCAAAATTTTCATTTTTAAAAAAATTTTGCCATTCTGGCTGAGCTGAAGATCTCCTATTAAAATAGATTCTGAAATATAGTGTTTTTTCCTAAATAATTAAGCCACTCATAGAATAATTTGACTATAATTTATGTGTGACCTGAACTGAACTCTGACCTGGTTCCAACCTCTCTTCCATTCTGCTGCTGGAGTGACATTTAGAAAACAGGCTTGGTTATGTCACCCTACTACTCAAAAAAGCTTTGACGATTTCAAATCAATGTCCTTAACTTGGTCTTTCAAGACCCCCAAAATCTGACTCCAGACTCCTCTCTGGTTTTAACTTTGGCTCAAGGTCCTGTGATGTCCATCTCTGCACCTTTGTTCACCCTATCCCTTCTGAGAATGCGCTTGCCACCTCATATCTGCCTTTCAAAACTTTACCTGTTCTTCACACCCCAGCCCAAAAGCCACCTCCTTCATAGGGCAATCCCAGTTCCCATCCCACCCCTACTCTCATCCTAGTTTTTCTCTTTCCCTGTTCATTTTACTTCTTCCCCACTCTGTGCTTCCTAGAGCTTCATATAATTGCAGCAGTATTAATTACCCTTTTCTTGTGTTAGCAAATGTTTGAGAATTAATAGTGAACAGTGCTTAAGGGAAAGTAATGTAGACTTTTGAGCCAGACAAGACCTGAGTTAAAACCCTGACTCTTAGGCAAGTCACTTAACTTCTCTGAATTTCAGCTCCTTCATCTGTAAGCTGAAGAAAATATCACCAAATCTGCATGGATTGGTAGGGGAGAGGATATGCAGTAAGGGTCCTCAGTAAGGGGTAGCTGTTATTACCATGGCTATTCAGATCCTGCCCTTAACTAGTTCATCAGCAGTTACCTAGCAGCACCTAACCCACCATAGTGTTTTCTGAGTTGAATGAAAGCAGCCCAAATTGATGACGTCTGCTGCCTGGATCTCACTGAGCTATTAGTTTTTCAACATCTGTTTTGAATTTGAGAAAGACATATCCATTTTTAGGCAACAGCAGCATTTTCCTGTGGCATTTCAATGTGTCTCAATCTTGAAATGATTATAACTTGTGCTTGATTGAATCCAAGTCAGCAAAGCCATGGAGAACAGCCCAGCACACAAGCACCAACTACTTTACGTAGGCCTAAGAGAGCATAGCCCTTTGTACCAAGGGCCTGAACACCGAGAAACACTATGTCAGCTTTTAATGACTTCACCGTTTGCTCAAATGTTTGAATTGTGGCAATAATGGTACTTGAGAAGCTCTTAATTATCCACAATACTGCAAGACAAGGAGAACACAGAAATCCTGGTTTTCTTTGATGTCTAGGGTGCTGGTAACTACACACGATGCACTCAGGATGTGTTTGTAATGACAGTTATTGAGTCCTTTTTCTTGACTCCAAATTCCCTTATAAAAATCCAAGAAGAAGAATGAGAAGGAGAAGAAAAGTCACCATTTTCTCCATTAGTTTCTAAATTATTTCCTATGGAAACAGAATTTTCTAAAACTACCATGTTTGATGAATCCTGTCTCTGTTTCAGCACCAAGGACAGAACCTTGCCAGGCTTGATGCCAACTCATCCTATTTAATTAACAAATTTTAAATGTTTTTAAATTTCTGCTCAGATGTTTATTCGATCATGTAATATATTGTTTTTCTGAACACTCATATGTGTCAGGCCTTAGTATGATACACAAAGACTCACAGCTCTCAAGATGGAACTGAGGCAGGAGATGAGCAAAAGAGGCAAGTTAATAAATCATTATAACACCATATGACAAGTGCTGTTACAGAGTTAAGTACAGGCCATATAGGAGCCAGGGGAGGGAACGACTAACTCTGACTGGGAAAGGAAGGCTTTTCAAAGGAGTTGACATTTGAGCTGGGTACTGAGAATTAAGCGAAATTTACAATACAGAGAAGAGACAGGGTATTCAGAGATTTCTAGAAGTGTGGTTTGATGTGGCTGAAAAATGGAGTGAATGTAAGGTTAAGGTAAGAGGTAAGGCAACGCTAGGTCAGATCACCAAGTACTTGTGTTACCAAGCAAAGGGGGTTATGCTTTATCTTGGGAAAATTAAAAGCTATCTAAGGGTTTTGAGCAGAGACAGGATCTGATCAGATTTGTGTTTTAGGAGGATAGTTCATACAGCAAGAGAGAGAATATACTGAAAAAAAGAAATGAGAAAGCAGAAGGGCAGATAAAATTGACACTCCTCCCTGTGGTTCTGGAATGAAGGGCCGCTCCATGGTAACCAAGGTTAGGGTTAGACAGGGAGAATTTACTTGGCCTAGCTCCCATTAGCTGTTCACCAGTGTTTCACATATGGATTATATCTCTCCAGATTCTACCAAGAAGATAAAAGACGTCTTGGCTGAATTTAATGAGGGTGGGAGCCTCAAACAATATGGCCCACATGAGGTAAGAACATTTTCATTTCAAGCCTTTAAAAACCTCATGTTCTAGCCTTTCCATAATTTGTCCCTCTTTTAGAAGTTTAGCTCACTTTGAAGAACTTGCTTCTTAAATTTTCTCCCAAATCTCAAATGAGCCACTGGTATACCTGGAATTTACATGTTTCCCAAGTCCATTCACCCTCTCATTACCCTAGAAGACCACATCATACCTTCTCCTCTCTCCTCAAATCTCACTCCTCCACCTCTCCCTCAATTTCCAGTTATCAACTGTTTTCTACTTCATTGAGAAAATAAAAACAATCATTTTCCCTGAGATTTTCCCCAAGAACCTCACCTTATGTGCTCGCCCATCTGTACTTTTTCTCCTGCAAATAGGAATGAATTCTCTGTGTTCTTGTCTCAGTCCAGTCCCTCCACATGTGCACTCAATCCCATCCTCTCTGGTCTATTGACAGGCACTGATTGCTTCAGCAACGTATTACTCTCTCTCTCATTCTCACTTGCTCTTTCCAATGAGCTTTCTCTATATAGTGGATTTTTCTCATCAACAAATAAACATACTGCTATTTCCCTTATATTAAAAACCATTCTTCTGACTCCACTTCTCCCTCCAGCTACCACCTCATTTCTCTCCTGTCCCTTATAACAAGCTGCACAAAAGGTGTGTCTATACTCATTGCCTCCAATTTCTCTTCTTCCCACTTTTCTGAAAGCCCTTCAGTCAGCATGTAACCCCCACCCACTCCTCCACTAAAACCACTAGTCAAAATAGCCAAGGACCTCCATATGGCTAATCTCAATAGTCGTTTTACTCAACAGCACTGGACATGGTCAAATGCTCCTCCACTTCGTTCACTTGATTTTCAGGACACTACACTCTCCTGGTTTTGTTCTTACCCTTTGACATTTCCACTTAAAAATTAAATAGGCATCTCAAACTTAACATGAGCTAAACAGACCTCCCTGATCTTTCTCGATAAAACCTGTATTTCCAGCAGTTTTCCCCATTTCAGCAAATGACAACTCCATTCTTCAAGTTTTTCAGCCTGAAACTATGACGTCATCATTGACTTTTCTCTTTTTCTCACAGCCCACATCTAATTCATCGGCAAATTCTGTCACTTCTGCCTTCAGAACACATCCAAACTCCAGACACATCTCACCACCTGCACTGCTACCACCCTGACCTAAGGCACCACCATATTTTGCTCAGATTATTGCAGTAGTCTCCTAAGTGGGCTCCCTGTTTTTACTCTTGACCTTTAAAGTCTATTCTGCACACATCCTGAGCAGTCTGTTAAAACTGAAGTCAAATCATGTTACTGTTCTGTTCGACAATCTCATATGTTCCGCACACCCCCTACTCAGAGTCAAAATCAAGGTCACTACAATCTGCACTTCCCCCTCCTCTCTGATCTCATCTCTTGCTACTCTTCTTCTCATTTTCTTCCAGCCAAACTAGCCTCCTTGATGCTATTAGACAAGCCAAGGGTGCTCTAACCTCAGCCCCTGTGCACTTGCTCTGGCCTCTTCCTGAAATGTTCCTCCCCCAGATACCCACACCGTTCATTTCCTCACCTCCTTCAAGTGTTTGCTCAAATCACCTTCTCAGTGAATGTCACCATCTCTATCTGAAATGTTAAACCCTCTTTCCTGACACTTCCTCCCTTCCTGCTTTGCCTTATTTTCTTCCATAGTACTTCTCACCATCTGTCACACTACTTAACTTACTTATTTAACTGTCTGTCTCTCCCACTAGAATATTTTTGTTCACTGCTATGTCCCCAGTGCCCAGAAGAGTATCTAGCTCATAGCAGGCACTCAACAAACATTTGTTGAATGAATAAATTCCTGGAAGACCTCCCTTACTTTCAAATTCAGCTCATCTGATGTTTCTTGAGCATCCAGGCACTGTGCTGGACACTGTAGAAGATATAAAGATGAGAAAGCACAGTTCCTGCCCACCAGAACTTACTTCCTACTAGCAGAGCCAAGTTTCAGAGCCATGACCCTGGAGTCATACGGTCTTAGATTAGACTGCTGCCTTTGTTGCAGACCAGCAATGTGGCCAAGGCCATTTCACCTCTCTGAGCCTCAGTTTCCTCATCTGTGAACTGAAGATAACAACAACCAAAAAGAAAGACCTTGAAGTTTGCAGATGAGTGAATTAAATAAGATAATTTTTGCAAAATGTCTAACACTTCAAGGACACTTAAAAATAGTGCCCATTGTTATTCTGTTTCTGTTCCCTTTCCCCAGAATGTTTTAAACTCAACTCCCTTTTCCCTGGTTCTGGGTCCTTTTATGAGGGCTAATTGCAGAAAAGCAACTGATCAGCAGGACGAACTTGGGAGGAGGCTGGCTGTTTATTTATTCATCTTGTCGTCCCTTCAACAAACCTTGAGTCAGTTCTTTCTCTGCTGGACCTTGGGAGTGAATCAACAGAGCCCACGCCCTTGAGGTACATCTGAGAGGTGCTTTGGGATAAAACTAAGGATCACCAGGAGAATGAAGCTGGAGGAAGTTTGCCAGGAGAGGGGCCAGACTGAGAATGCATCGTTTCAAAGAATATTCCTAAAGAAAAGCCATGTGGAAAGGCTGGCAAAGCCAGCAAAGAACTTGCAGCCCCTCAGTCCCCACTCCCACCTCCAAAAACATAGGAACAAAGACTGGCGGGGGCTGCTAATCCGCCTGTCCGCCCAGAGGCTGCCGAGTGGGAGGCGAACAATTTGGTCAGGGCCACCGAGGGTGTGAAGGCCACGGGAGCTTTCAGAAGCAGGGAGCAGCTTGGCTGCTATGAGCACTTTGCCACCCCCGCCTCCATCGGGCTGGCCTCTGCTCTTTCTACGCCTGGCACTGCTGTGTTCCAGGGGAGCCCTGTCACTCTGATTTCATTCTCTCTCACAGTGTGGCTGGCTTCTAGTAGGTGTAATGTCCCAGCATGGGGTTCAGAAACAACAGGGTTTAATTTCTCTTGAGCTTGATGTCTTATTGCTGCTAAAATATCTCAACGAGAAGTAGGTTAGCTGTGGGAAGGGGCAGGTTGCTAGGAAAGCAAGGCTGGAAATAAAAGTTTGCAGAGTATCAGGGCTGCATCTGTCTGTGACAAGTGTACCCTGGCCCATTGGCACCAAGTGATTCTTTGGAGAACAAAGTGCAGCTGAAGACAGCCAGAAAGTGGACAAAAACAGTGGAGCCAGAGAAGCTGGGAGGCTTGGTGGCACTGTGATCTTAGACTCAGATACACGTAGCACAGAACACAGCTCTGCCTCTTGCTTTATGACTTTGAGCAAGTTATTTATGTTCTCAGAATTTTTTTCATCCACAAAATGGCAGTAACAGTGCCACGTCACACTGTTGTTTTGAGCCTTAAGATCACGTATGTACAATGCTCGATAAACTCTCCACCTAGTTCTCTTTGCTTCTCAGCCTGTAGAAGAATTCACTCTCTCTTTAAACAGGTTGCAGAAACAGCAATTGCCTAGCTAGTTTCTGCATGAAAGTTGCAGCTTCTGGGGGGAAAAAAGTCTGAACAACGGCAGTACCTGAGATGTTGCTCAGGCTCTGAGAATTGCCAGTGTGCCCCATAGTGGTGGATTGTCTGGTTTGGGCAGAGTACCCAGCCACTCCCATCACACATTTCCCAAGCAGCTACCCTGAGTCTGGCCTGTGCTCATAAAGAACTTACTCTTTTGCAACCCAGAATCACTCTGAGAGTGCCCCCCAGGCACATTTCTTTGCCTACCGAACTTGGGGTGCTTAGAGGGAGCTGGGGGGAGCATGATGTCGGCACAGGGGCCTGGGACAGACACAATAGCAGGAGCACTAGACCAGGAGTCAGAAGATCAGGCTCCTGCTTTCACTCTGCCCTAGCTGGCTAGAGCAAATCTCTGGAACTTCCAGAATCTCTGACATAATGAGATCTAGTCCCCTCTGAGCTCTTCTGATGTGAATGTTCTGTGTTTCGGGGCTTATTCTATGCTGTTCCCCAGGGTAGGGATATAAATGAAGGACATGTGTTCAACATCATTGTTTTCTAAGTTCTCACAACAATTTGTCAATTCTTCTATGACACTCACCACTCTTGACCCTGTATTAGAATTATTTCAGTACCTTTCCCACTGAGTCCCTTAAAGGTATGGAGTCATGCCTAAATCACCAGTGTCCAGCACTGTGTCTTGTATCTGAGAGACTCGGTACATATATGTTGACTGAACAGACCCACAGTAATCGATGACAGCCAAGTGTACCAATGAAAAATGCAACATCCATTAAAATACCTATCAGGAAATACTGTGGTAGGTGGTGTGGGGGATATGAAGGTGAAATAAGATATTTTACTACCTTTCAGCTCTAGATCTAGTCGAGGAACTAAGGAATGTATGTCATGAACAACTATATATTGAGAGGGCAGCAGATACGAGTATTCCAAGATAGGAAACAAGGTGGAAAAGTATAGCAATTTAGGCACAGTAGATCATACCAGGCTTCCTGGAAGAGGTGGCATCTGAGTTGGATCTTAAAGGATAGCTAGAATTTTAATAGGTACAGAAGAAAGCAGTTCATGTGAAATACGTGGAGGGTTGGCCAGGAAAGAACACAGAGATCAGTGTGGACAGAGTGTGGAGGGACACATAGAAATAATAGGAGAAAAGACCAGAGTGGTCTCCAAGGTTGAAGTAGCTACACATCTAGGTTGGAGTGGGATTATGGCAGGGCTGTGAATCCCAAAGAACTCAGGGAGTGCACCAGATGACCCACTGGACCAGAGGAATACTGCATATTAGACCTTCTGTTTATACTGATTATCTCATCTAATTTCTATTTTCTAACTTCTTTGTGTGTGTTTACAGTGCATGTAAGGGGAGCACAGTAGTCCACGTATATAATGTATAAGTAAAGATGAGTGGGAATGTGTACTCAAAAATCTTATAGAGGGCTCATGGTTTTAAAAGTTTGGAGACAGCTGATCTCAGCTTTCTCATGGGCCATTAGAATCCAAGGAAAGTTTTTGAGTAGGGAAGCAGTCTGATCAGAGTTGTACTTTGGGAAGATCAACCTGGCAAGGATGGAAAAGATGAGAGTACTGATAGATAGAAGAGGATGCAAGGAAGCCTTTGATGGATGTTACAATGGTCCGGATAGGATGCAAGAAACAGAAATCTGAAACTGGAAATGTGGGGACCTTCAATAGCCTCCTTACCAGGGTGGTAGCAGATGTGCAGAGGATACAAAAAAGACCTGGATGTGACAGACATTGCAGAACAACAGTGGACAGAAGGAAGGGACAAGAACTAGTCAAACGACCAAGAGTTCAAAACTAAGCCTGGAATATCGGGAGGATAATGTGCCACTGACATGAGCAGAAACTGTAGGGTTGGAGAGAGGAACTGGTTTCAGGAAGAATCTGTTAGAAGTTCAGAACTTGAGAACTTCTGGTCCAGCACTCACAATTTGCTGAAGAAGAACCCAAGGTTCAAAAAAGGAGGAAAATGTGGACTTCAGATCAGTCATGAGGTCTCCTGAATTTCACACTGATCTTGCTAGATGCCTTTTCAGCTTTGGTTTTTTTAAGACCATTATGTAAGACTTTGTTTAACTGAATTTTCTTTTTATTAAATCATTTAGTACAATCTGTTTTCCAGAAATAATTTATGCTGATGATTTTCAATTTGAGGCCAACCCCAAAAGAGTTTGACAAGACATTTTGGAACTCAAAACTATTTTGTAAAGCAGTACTTATCCATTAAAATAGTGCAAAAGAAAGGACAATGCAAAAAGAGCCTTTTGAAATAGTTAATGATAAAGGTGAGAGCATCTAAGAAGAGACCATTGCATTTGTGACCTTCAAGAAAGGAGGTTCAGAGGTGACACACTAGAATCCAAACTGAATGGATTAAGAAGGTGAGGAGAAGTGTGAAGGGGATGGGAGGAAGCACATGCTAGTAGCTCGAGCAGCCATCAGTTTCTTTGGAAGAGTGACCTGAACATACTTACAGGTAGAGAAGCTGTGCTGGGAGATGCCATCAGAGGCAGGGACAGTGGAACTGAGGGTCATCATGGGTAAGTTCCACTTGGAAGGTGGGAGGAAAAGATTTTGCTCTTGCATACTGAGAAGAAGGAAGAGAATGTGTGAGGCAGGGACATTCTGAGGTGTTGAGGCTGTGGAGATAGAGAGGGACAGAAAGAGTATAAAAAAGAGACTGAGACTCAGGGGCAGGAAAGACAAAGAGATGAGAGAGAGACTATAGCTGTCACAAGAAATGTGAGTCCACATTAAGATGCCTTAATCTGGTAAGAGCCTTCATTTCCTCTATCCAGTGGAATCCAGCTTCTTTTACTCTAAGGAGCTTTTTGAACCACCCACCCTGGAGCTAAGGAGAAACAGCCTTGTGAGCTCCCTCCCAATAGGGTCCAAAGGGCATTGCTTGTTTTAAAGACAAAACTTTGTATCCCAAACCTGACTGTGCACATGCCAGCTGGCTCCTGATTCTGGGAAGGCTCCCAGATCTTCCAGAAGAGACAAGGGGTTAAATGCTATCCACATTTTCAGGGAGAGCCAAGTAGGATCCCAGAAAGGGACTTTTTTCCTCACAGCTCTTTACAGCTGCTATTATTCACAAAAGCCTGCACAGCAGATCTTGGAGTAGTGCTTCCTCAAATGATTTCCAGGAGCATCTGCGGATTTGATGAAGAATCTGATGCCATCAGAGCACACGCCAGTGATGACTCACTGCTCACTGTGGTTGCCGACTGTTTGCTGAGCACAGCAGCCCTTTCTAGCATGGTCCCCCCAGCTTGGGAGCAGAAGCCAAGCCACACTGGGAGATGTGCAGCAGGGAGAGGTTCTAGTTTTTGGCATGTTTCTTGGTTCTACCTTCTGTCCTTGGCTTCCTGTTCTTCTCCCGGTGCCTAAAACCTTCTCAAGGACATCTTTTGCAAGCAGCTGAGCCAGACACATACCCTCCCCTGTTATCTTAAGGTTTGTCCAGGAAAGGTCAGTTGTGAAAGTAATGAAAAGTGGAGCCCCTCCTTCTTTATTTTCTGAGATTTGAATACTCAGGAATCACATCCCTCACAGCATAAGCAGAAAATTGAGGTATCACAGAAGTGCAGTTTCTTTCCATTGTGTTTTCAACTACATCCTTCTTTTCAGCTGAAGTATAGTTGAGTCATAATGTTATATTAGTTTCAGGTATATAGCATAGTGATTCAATATTTTTATATATTATACTCCATTTAAAATTATTATAAAATAATGCCTACATTCCCTGTGCTGTACAATATATCCTTGTTGCTTATTTATTTTATACATAGTAGTTTGTATCTCTTAATCCCGTACCCCTTTTGTGCCCCTCCCCCTCTCCCTTTCCCCACCATTCTTTTTCATCTTAATCAGGGCACTGACCTTGTCCTGCTCATTAGAGACAAGTCCCTCTCGTGGGCCTGGGCTCAGCCAGAGCTCTCACTCCCAGTTCGCACTCTCCGCTTTTCTACCTAAATTCAGCCATGCCTTGTTACAACGGCCTCCTGCGGTTCCGTGCCCCAACTTCAGTCATGCAGCCACCAGCTTTTTCTCTTACGTCCTACGCCAGCTCCCTGTGCCAGTCGCTTTCTGTCACCTTCCGGTCCTTTTCCTTCCTGCCCCCACCAATCACTCTAACCCCTTCTGTTTCCCTTTCCATTTCTCTCGCAAGCCAGCTCCCTGATTCCTTCTCCTTCTCTCCCCCTTCTCTGTCCCTTCACTTTTCTCTACTGACTTTTCCCTCTTTGTCCCTTCTCAGCCAATTAGCTATGATGTCTTCACGCTGTTCATGAGGGCATACCTGGAGGTGGACCTTCCTCAGCCACTGAGCACACACCTCTTCCTGGCCTTCAGCCAGAAGCCCAAACAGGAGACCTCTGACCACCCAAAGGAGGGGGCCAGCAACAGCGAGGCCAGTGGCCCAGGTACATGGACCAGCGTTCCCCAAGATGGAAAGATTTTGCGGCTCTAACCCACTTGGCACAGGCACAGGCTGCCTCCTAGAGGGTCCCTGTACACAGTAACTTCCCTATGGGGGGGACACGGGGGACATGGAGACCAGGGAACAGGAACCCCTGTCTTCTCAGGGCCTCACAGGAAGCCCTGCCTGATGGATCTCTCGAAGAAATAAAGAAGGGCATAGTTCCTGCCATCAGGATCAGAGGGAGGATGGGGAGAAGAGGAGGCGCAAGCTAATGTACAGCAAGCAGTAGGGGAGGGCCTTCCGCAAAAGATGCCAGTCTCGGGGCAGCACATGGGCTGGGACTAGCCCGGGAGAGTCAGAGGAAGGGAACAGTGTGGTCCCTGTCTTTCTGAAATTTGAACTATAATGGAAGAGACACAGCCCAACCCATCAGAGAGCATGAACCCAGCTGACACCAGAAACACAGGCACAACCCAAGTGGTCCAGATCTCGTGGGAAGGTCTCCTGCCTGCCTCTCTAAAAAGCATGGTCTAGTTCTTAAATCTTCTTTTTTACTTCCCAGATTCCGACATACAGAATGCAGATAATGCTGCCAAAGCAGACGAGGCCTGTGCCCCAGATACGGGTAAGTCTTTCGGGGAGGAGTGGGGAATACCTCATCCTTGGAGGGACGGGGGAGTCTGACTAGCAGTTTGAATGCTTTGAAGTAGATCTTGTCTGTCTCCTTCTCCAGGGCCCCTGCCACTCAGTGTGCTGGGATTTTGATGCTAGATGAGGGTTCGTAGTTCACTTGCTCCGAAACAGGGCAGATCACGACTTCAGACAGCTCCTTAGACATTTACTTCTGATGGGTCTGCCTAGCCAGAGAGGGGAAAAGGAGAAAGAATACAATGGGGGATTGTGTATGCACATGTGTCGGCTAGCACTGTTTTGAAGATCTATTTGCCAGGCACCTGCTTTACTGCATGTTTCACTGAACCTTTGCAGTCACACCATTTCACACATGGAGGAGCTGAGACTTTAAGAGGTTGTATATCACCGTGTGACTGGTGAAACTAGGGATTCAGTCCAGAACTGTCCAACCTCAAAGCTGCTGCTCTTTTCCACACCAAGAGAGAAAGCAATGATCTGTCTTGAGGTGCCTGGACTAAGGTTTGCCTCTATGTAAAGGCTTTACTTTGGTTGTTCACAATGGAATGACCAAAGCCGTGCTCCCAGTGGGGCCACCATCATGGTACCTGGCTGCCAGTGCACCCACTCCTGGGCCATGGCTGACATGGAACCTTCTCTGGCCCATTTATCAGTGGGAATCCATTCCTCTGTTGACAGGTTATTGACAGGCACAGGCCCAAGGGCAGGCACTCCTAGGAAAATTGGAAGGAGCAAAGATTACCCTCCTTGATCTTTGTTCTCAGATCCAGTACAAATTCCCTGGACACTGTCGAAACAAGCTGGGTCAGGCACTAAGCATATTGGTTAAGAATCTGGACTTTAGAGACAGACTTCCTGGGTTTGATGCCCAGCTCTGACAATCTCTAGCTCTATAACCTTGGGTATGTTTGAACAATATCTCTGAGCCTCAGTTTCCCCATCTGTAACATGAGATGACAATAAGTGTTGATATGAAGGTTAAATGAGTTTTGTGGGTAAAATGCTTAGAATAGTAGCTGGAGCATTGTAAATGTTCGATAAATATTAGCAGTTTTATTCAGGTCACCCTCCAAAAGTACACCCTAGTGTCACCTCGTCATGTCTGCCAAGATCTCCTTCAGTCTGCACCCTCAGTCTCCAGTTGTATCAGTTGGGCATTCTCTTATCATGGGAGGACTTTTCAATACTGTCTCCCTCCCAGGTTGGTCTTGGAGCTTCAAATACAGAGACTCAGAGAAACAGGCCTTAATTCCTGTGCATTATTGTTTGGAAAATACTGATACACATTAGTGAATTCCAGCTCTTGGGATGTGCTCAGGGGATAAAAAATGCAGTTTTATTGTATCTGACTGTGTATATCCTATGTATATATATACACATACATACATGCATACATACACGGAAGTATAGATAAGAGATAGTACAACTGAATGAGAATTAATTGTAACAGGAATCTAAGATGCAAGAATTTCTTCAAGTGGGTAATAGATATTGTTCTAATCTTTTTTCCAGTGATGGCAAAAAGGACAACTAGAGGATTATAGAGTTCTCAGTGTACAACTGAAGAACTGGTGAGATCAAAAGTTCACTCGGGAGGGTGGGTATAGCTCAGTGGTAGAGTGCATGCTTAGCATACATGAAGTCCTGGGTTCAATCTTCAGTACCTCTATTTAAAAAAAAAAAAAGCAAGAAGGACATTTAGCTTTAAAAGGAAAAATTCTCTCCGGATGGAAAGCAGAACAAGGTTGGGAAAGGAGAACTGCCTCTGGACCATAAGCTTAGCAAATACCAGACAGCTCCAGAAAGCAAGGACTGAGAGCATCGGTGCCTTCCGGAGGCCTTCAGGGACACTGCAAGACTCTACAAAGTATAGGCTCACCCACCCCTCTGCCCAGCATCTCACCCAGACATGCTAGGTCCATGGCCCCTTGGTTAAATGGATTAAAGTTATAAGTCTTAAATCTTATGTGGTATAGAGGAGGCGTGTTATGACATAAATCATTCTCATGGTGGAAAGAAAAAGGACAAACTGGAAGCTTTGAGATTCTAAATTCTCAGCAAGAAAATCAACTGTGAAAAGTGTCTGGACCCAAATTCTTTACGCAGAGACCTTCTAAGGGTCTGGAACTTCAAGAGGAACCTGAGAGAAGTTACTCTTCATCCCCTGAGGTCCCAAATTGTCTGGGCAGGATTTTTTTTAGTGATTGAAGTTTCTAAGATACCAAGGAAGGACTTAGCGGGGATGTGACATTTGAGAAAAAGTAATCTATGATGATAATAGGCCTTGGCTGTGCTTGTATCTGTATCATTCTGGGTCTGAGAGCAACTTCCAGAGACTTCCTCGCACTGTTTTCCTATGCATGGGAGTTTCAGTGTCATGTGGTCTAGTCATGAAAGGGCAGTTACCTGACTCCTGGCCCAGGGAGGTGTATAGCATTTTTTCATCTTCTTCTGTGACGAGATTTAAAGTAGAAAATCCCTCTCCTGTTAGGCCATCTTCCACGGATGTCTTAATTAGACACCCCTGTTCACCAGAAGCAAGAATGTAGGGACAGGTGGACACCACAGGGAGGGGCCTCTGTCAGCAAGGAAGAGCCAAGTTCTGGAGTCACCTTAGATCAGGCCATCTGTTGAAAATACCGCCCTTTTCCCGTTGCCCAAGTGGAAGCCAGAGGAAGAAACTAGATTCTCTTTTGATGGGGCCTGTTTAGGCCTATCAGATCAATCTCCAAGCTCCGATCAAAACAGCCCACGTAAGAAATGATTGGATCCATAAACACAGCAGAGAGGGACTTTCACTGAGTTCAGACATCAGCTCAGAGACTTGAGCAGTCTGTCATTGTCAGGATTTCAGCTCAGGAAAAGCTGAATTCACCCGTCCCCGAATGCCCAGGACAAAGTGGGACAAACAATGTGAACTTTATCCTCCTGGCTTTTCAGTTCTTCAGACTGTTGAGATGTTTCAGCAACTTGGAAGATATAGAGTCTTGAGGAAAGTCCCTCAAGTTTTTCCTTATTTTTTCCCAATTATAAAAGTAACCCAATGTAAAAAATTTGAAGGGTACAAAAAAACTAAAGAAACAACAAAATCACCTATAATCTACCAGTGCAATTATGTGTGCATATGCACACATGTATCCTTGTAGGTTTTTTCCCATAATTTTTTTTACAGGATTAGAATCAGACTGTATACATACCCACAATTTTGGATCTAGCTTTGTTTTTCATTTCACATTATATTCACATTTTTCATGTCATTCAAGACTTTTGGTGACTATCAACTTTAATGCAAGTCTGTCTTTTAATAGATGAGAAAACTGAGGTTGGGTGTGGCAAGTAAGGCTACTTGGGCAAGATCACACATCATTTAGCACAAACCCAGTTTTCTTCCTCTATCTTGGTGCTCTTTCCACTACGCCACACAGCCCAACTGGAAAGCAAGAAGTAATATAGAGACTTTGTGTCTAGAAGGTGTTAGTCTTTTATTGCTGTGGAACCCTGAAGGATGTTGGCACCTGATAGAACCTCTTCTCTGGAAGAGGGTGGTCCCTGAGAAATGTGCTCAGATGGCTGTAGCTTAGGAGTATTTCATGCAGGGCAGCATGAGGAGGTGGGACACCAGTGAGACTATGTGCCACTCTGTCTTTCTGGGCCCAGCAGTTCCACTGCTGGACTGAACAGTAGACCTCAACAAAGGCTAGAACAATGGCTCAAGATCCAGTCACAGCTCTGGTAACCAAAGGATCTTTGGAAAAGAATGGCAATCTCTAGGTCCATCCATGTTGCTGACAAATGCCATTATTTAATTATTTTTTATGACTTAAGTAGTATTCCTCTGTGTGTGTGTGTGTGCGCGCACATGCATGTGGTGCGCATGCGCGCGCATGCGCACACGGGTGCCTATACACACCACAACATCTTTATCCATTCATCTGTCAATGGATATTTAGGTTGCTTCCATGTCTTGGCTATTGTAAATAGTGTTTCCATGAACATTGGGGTGCATGTATCTTTTCTAATTACAGCTTTCATATTTTCTGGATATATGCCCAGGAGTGGAATTGCTGGATCATATTACTCTATTTTTAGTTTTTTAGGGAGCCTCCATACCATTCTCATAGAGACTTCAACAGTTCACATTCCCAACAGTGTAGGAGTTCCCTTTTCTCCACACCCTCTCCAGCATTTATTATTTGTAGATTTTTCGATGATGGCATCCTGACTGGTATGAAGTGGTGGTGGTACCTCACTATAATTTTGACTTCCATTTCTCTAATAATTAGCAATAATCTGTTCGTGTGCCTGTTGGCCATCTGTATGTCTTCTTTGGAGAAATGTCTATTTAGGTCTTCTGCCCATTTTTGATTGAGTTTATTTTTTGTTATGGAATTCTATTAGCTTTTTGTATATTTTGGAAATTAAGCCCTTGTTGACACATAGTTTGCAAACATTTTCTCCCCGCCCATAGGCTGTCTTTTAGTTTTGTTTATGGTTTCCTTTGCTGTGCAAAAGTTTTTAAGTTTGATTAGGTCTCTTTTGTTTACTTTTGCTTTTATGTCTATCGCCTTGGGAGACTGACGTGAAAAAACATTGCTACAATTTGTGTCAGAGAATGTTTCGCCTTTGTTCTCTTCTGGTTCTATGGTGTCATGACATATTTAAGTCTTTCACTCGTTTTGAGTTTATTTTTGTATATGGTGTGAGAGTGTTCTAACTTCATTGATTTACATGCAGCTGTCCAGCTTTCCCAACACTGCTTGCTGAAGAGATTGTCTTTTCACCATTGTGTATTGTTATATACCTTGCAGAAGATTAATTGACCACAGGTGTATGAGTTTATTTCTGGGCTCTCTATTCTGTTCCATTGAACTATATGTCTGTTTTTGTGCCAATATCATGATGTTTTGATTACTGTAGCTCTGTAGTATTATCTGAAGTCTGGGAGGGTTAATGCCTCCAGCTTTGTTCTTTATTCTCAGAATTGCTTTGGCAAGTCTGGGTCTTTTGTGGTTCCGTAAAATTTTAGGATTATTTGTTCTAGTTCTGTGAAAAATGTCATGGGTAGTTTGATAGGGATCACATTAAATCTGTAGATTCCTTTGGTAGTAGGCCGTTTTAACAATATTAAGTCTTCCAATTTAAGAGCATGGGAAATCTTTCCATTTCTTTGAATCATCTTCAGTTTCCTTTATCAGTGTTTTATAGTTCTCAGAATATAGGTCTTTCAACTCCTTGGTTAGGTTTATTCCTAGGTTTGTTTTTGTTTTTGTTTTGACATGATTTTAAATGGGATTTTTTTTTTACTTTCTCTTTCTGAGATTTCAATATTAGTGTAAAGAAATGCAACAGATTTATGTGTATTAATCTTGTATGCTGCTACCTTGCTGAATTCATTTATTCTAATAGTTTTTGTGTGGAGTCTTCAGGTTCTATATAGAACATTATGTCATCAGCATATAATGACTACTTTGTTTTAAAATACCTTTGTTAAAACACAGTTGACATAAAATGAATTACACATGTTTAAAATGTACAATTAATAAGTTTTTATCTCCATATACACCCATAAAATCAGCACCACATCATTATAATGAAGATATCCACCAGCCCCAAAAGCTTCCCATTTATAATCCCTTTCTCCCAGCCTCCCTACCCACCCACCTCCATCTCCGTACAGCCACTGATCTTCTTGCTGTCACTGTTGACTAGATTGCATTTTCCAGATTTTATATAAGAAGAATGATATAGTATGTACTTTTTTCATGTGACTTCTTTCACTCAGCATAATAATTTTAAAATTCATCCATATTGTTGTGTGTATCATAATTAACATATTTTATTGCTGATTAATATTTCAGTATATAGGTAGATATTCCACAGTTTGTTTACCCATTCACCTATTGATGGACATTAGGGTTGTTTCCAGTTTGGGGCTGGAATATGAATGAAATAAAATATGAATATTGTTCATATTTTCTTGCTTCTTTGCAATATTTTATTGAATGCCAGACAATGAAAATTTCACATTGTTGTTTAATAGAGGTTACATCTGTTTGCAACCCACTGAGGGTCTTGTCCAGTAGGAAATTATGTCCAAAGACCTGATCCTTTGAGACTTTAGGATGAAGCTGCCTTTTCCTTGTTTTGCAGCTCTGTTTCTTGGCTTCCATCTTGGTCTCCTCACAGGGCCCTTTGTAACACACAGAGTGTGTCAGTGACCTTTGGTCTGTCCCACGGTCCATCTGGGTGATGGCCAGCTCCCGTCTCAGACCACAGCCTTACCTCTCGGACCTGGTAGGCTTTCATTTAGCACAGCTCTGTTAGCCTGCAATGACCGTTTGCCATTGCTTGGCACTTTGGTTCTCTGAATGAAGAGTGTACTGGTGGCATTGCCTTCCACAGTAGGCATTACTGTCCAGGCTGTCTCTCCCTCTGCCTGTGACTTCAGCACTATTACTTGATGGTGCAATTCTTAGGTTAGATTTTCTACTGCCAGTCAATCTTCCTTTCACTGTTTCCTGTGTTTTCTGTGAGTTGAACCTCTTGTTTGATATTGAGATCATTTCTGATGGGCATGGGTATTGTCAGGCTGGGGAGAGAAAGAGAGCTCTTAAAGTGCCTCAAAAAATATACTTTACACAGTAAAATATAGGTGCCTGACTTTCTGGTTGATAATAATGTCATATTTCTTAACCAGAGGAAAGAGACAGTTTCCCTACCTATGAGAAGGAAAATTTCAGAGGGAAAACTTACTCTATTCCTATGGTATGATAACCTGCTTTCTTTATACAACTGATAAGGCTTTCAATAAGACAAAATTCTTCCTAGTTTACAGAAATTAGTTGATTATCAATCCCAGTTTTCTCTTTTGAACTTTCATCTTTTTATTTATCTTTAAATGCATTAGAGAAGAAAATTGTGAGGGGGGTATATTGGCAAATAACCAATAGTCTGAATTTTTGGAATCCCAGCCAAAACTACCTCTATAAATGGGGTGTGTTTCCCCCCAAATTAGGCTAAATGACATTAGCTATTAGCTATTGACATTATTAAAAATCACTATCATCTTTTCTGAAAATGTACAGAGCATAGGTGAATTTCTTATAAAGCTATAGACTCTTTAAAAGACTCAGAATGGGCTTCATTCAGAGAACATGTACTCTACAAACTGGATTTCTAGGGCCAACAATTTGACCATATCTATGTAACCGACACTTTTGAAGACGCTTATAGAAAATTCTTGCCTCTGCCATGAAAAGGATGGGGCAACAAAGGGTTTCATATTTACTAAACATTGTGTCCTTAGATGCTTTCCTTTTGCTTGTTGCAGAATCAAAGATGACCGAGAAGCAAGTGCCAGCTAAAGACCAAGCGGCTGCGACCCCTCTGGGAAACCCTGTTGTTCAGTCTCCAGGCTCAGAATCCCCCACAGTGTACCTGAAGGACGTCGTGTGTTACCTGTCCCTGCTGGAGACGGGGAGACCTCAGGATAAGCTAGAGTGTACGTACGCACCCTGCCAAGGGGCTTTGACTTTTTCCTAGAGGAAGAGCTAGTGTCCTGTCCATCATTCTAAACATGCTGGAGATTGATCTGGGATCCAGAGGTGGGTCCTGCCTCCGTGGGGGAGGTTTTCTGCCCTGTCACCAGCAGTAACATGTATATTTCCTAGAATCTACGCTGGGACACAGTAGCTGTTGTATAGAGTGTGGGAAGTGCATTTGAGATCTTGGTATTGAAAACCAGGAGCTGGAAAAGGAAGGGGTCTCTGCAAAGGGTGAACACTCCCTTTCTTTGCTGGCAGGATTTCCGGAAAGCCTCCAATCAGAAAGCTGCTGCCTCCTCTTAGCAGATTTTTCAAGGGAGGATTTTTCAACTTCTGTCTTCCTTCCCCTACTCCATGTCCAAGCAACACTTGAACTATGAGGAATCCTTTTTTTTTTTTCTTGAGATCTCATCAACCTCTATCTTGTTAAAGCTTATTTCCAATTCTTCACCCACCTGCCTCTCCACCCCAAGTGTTGTGGCCTCTAGAGAATGAGGGCTAGTTAAATATGGGAGTCAAGCTGAGTTTCAAAAGCATGTCTTCAGGAGGAGAATAATAGCTGGGGGCAGAAAGGAAAGCCCATAGTGATTGAAACAGCCCGCAGTCTTGGACATAAGTTACTCCAGGGATGGTCTCACTGGCCTCTGTGAGCCTGCAGGCAAACTTTTTAAAACATGATGGGACCTTGTTAAATAATACATACTGTTTTGGCTTCTCTTGGGATCTTAGTAGACACTGAGGGGAAAGCATATACATTATAGAAAAAGTCAAAATTCCAGCTAATAAGCAGACTAGTCAACAAATCTTAAGCAGTAGCAAGGAAAAATCTGGCAAAGGTTAACCCTTGCCAAAACCAAAATGAAACAGTTTGCTCACTAGCCGAGCTTAAAGGCTCCCCCATAGATGTCAGGTGTTAACAACTGCAAGTCTTAACTGCTAATTTGGAAGCAGATGTACCAGGTTTCTGGCTAATGTTAAAAGTGAAATGTCATATTATTTCCCACATTCAGTTGGATTTGGGGTTTCAGGTGTGATATTTGTTCATAACTATGGGAGAGGATGTGGCAGATTCTTCACAGTAGTGCCTCGCAGTCTGAGTCTTGTCATGGCAATAAAAAGCAACTGCATTTTTTTAGAGCTTTTTATTGTAGAAAATTTCAAACATAGACAAAAGTAGAGAGTACAATGAACTTCCATGTACTTGTCAGCCACCGTCAACAATTACCAGCTTATGGTCAGTCAAGTTTTATTTATACCTCCCACCCCTTCCCTCTGCCCCAGATTGTTTTGAAGCAAATTCCAAACATCATATAATTTCATCTGTAAATATTTCAGTACGTACCTCTAAAATATGACTTTTTCTTAAATAGAACCACAGTACCATGGTCACATCTGAAGAAAATGATTCCTTACAATTAGCAAATATTCAGTCAGGATTCATTATTTTCCCATAGTTGGGAAACAATTCAAACATTGTTTGTTTGAGTCAGGATCCAAGTAAGGTCCAGGCGTTGCTACTGGTTACTGTGTCTCTTCAGTCTCTTTTAATCTTTTGCTTATTTTTTTTTCCTTGCAATTTTTTGTTGCAGAAGCTTGGTCATTTGTCTTGTAAAGTTTTCTTTGTTTTTTTTTTTAAATTAAACCAAATAAATCCAAATCCTCCCTGATTTTCGTGATCGAAAACAAATTAAGCTTTAAAAAAAAATAACCAAACATGTATTTTTGGGGAAATGATGGCCTGAAATCCTACCTATCATCAACGTAAATAATAATAATAACTCATAATTGAACACCTTATTTTTGCTAAGCACTTTAAATGCATTATCTCATTAGCCATAGACCATCAACATTCACAATAACCCTAGAAAGTCGACATGATTATTCTCATTTTACATATAAGAAAGCACATAAAAGTTAACTGACTTGCCCAAGGCCATGGATGCTTACTCACGCATTCTCATTTTATCCCTCATGCACAGTAGGACATGCTAGAGCCACTGGGGCCCAGGGTCTGGGGGTATCACTAGGGCAAAGATCTGTCATTACATCATGCATCCACCTGTTCGGCGAGTTAGCCTTGTATGCTGAGTGTCTCTTGCCCGGACACTCAGAGGAGTCACAAAGAATCTAAATCCCGTGACCTTACTTTTAAACAACTTAAACTCCAACCAGAGACACACCACTGAATAAACACGAAGTACAGAGATGCTACGGGGACTCACACTCATGACCCGGATCTCATTAGCCACAGAGTTATTGCTTAGACAATTCCAGAAGCCAGGTGGCTTGGTTCTCCTCCCTTTTCCCACCCTCTCTGTAAAGAAGTCAGACTCCTTGCCCTGGAGGGTGGGTGAGCTGGCTGCAACAGACTTCGCCCCAGTGATGGTCTGAACTGATCTGGAAACTGGCCGCAGCAAAGTCTCAGCCCATCCATGGTGCCTGAAGGACACCTCAAGCCTCACCTCTGTGTTTTTTGCAGTCATGTTTCGTCTCTATGATTCAGATGAGAACGGTCTCCTGGACCAAGCGGTAAGCTCTCCAAATATCCCTCCAAGATCCAAGAAAGGCTGGGGGAGAGGGGAGCAGGTGAAGGGAGAGTCTGGTGAAGGGAAAACTCTCAGTTCCATCTTCATAGGAATAGCAATGTCTCACTATGGGCCACAGAGATGAGTAGAACCCTCCAGCTTCTAATTCTAAAGAGCCAGCCCGGAGAGACTGAACTCCAGGTTGCCTTTTTATTCCAGAAGCCCAAACGGCAAAATCTCAGATTGGGGAAATGAGATTTAGTATCTCATCTAGTTTAACTTCCCAACTGGTTCAGAAATCCCCCCTGCAATTTCCTGCTGGAGGCCAGGGGCAGAGGGGAGGAGGTGGGGGGAGGCACTGAGACCAGGGCAGGAGGGCAGGAGGAAGGCAGGTAACGGCTGGTGTGCTTTGCCAACCCGCTTTGTCTTCCTCTCATACCCCGGGGGCACTAGCTCCAGGAGCCTGGCTCTGTCTGCTCTGAGCACAGGAGCCCCTCCCACTGCACCTGGGAAAGCCTGGGTCTGGCCCACACCTCCCCTCAGGAGGAGGCAGGGATAGGTCAGGGGTCACGGAGTTAGAAGAAGAATGGAAAAGAAAGAAGGCAGAAAGGGGAGAAGGCAAATTGAACCAGATAGGCCCCGTCCTCGTGACTGGCAGTGTCAGAGATGGGGCTCATTAATGGAAAGGCTTTGAGGTTGAAGTGCCTGGGGCTGAGTCAGACCAGAGGAAGGAAGAAAGGGAACACATCCACTAGACCAGCCACACCGTCATCGTCCCAGTTCCTTCGAAACCCCGGAGGGTCTTTACGGGATGCCTGCAGCCACAGGGCAGTGCTGTCACTGTTGGGTCACGTGAGGGAACCACCAGAGAATCACGCTCTCGAGCATTTGATCAACACGTAATTATTGAGTTTCTAGTGTATGTCAGGCACTGTTCGAAGACCTGGGGATTTATCAGTAGCCAACGGAGAAAAATCCAGGCCCTCGTGATGCTTTCCTTCTGGTGCAGACATGCACACTGAAAAGTGTAGTAAAAAATGTTAGAGATGTGTGCTAGCGGAAAATAAAGGAGGGAGAGGAAACATTGGGGGAGCTGCAGTTTAAGCTGGAGGAGCCAAGGAAGGTCTCCCTGAGGAGAGGACATCTGAACAGAGACTTGAAGGAAGTGAGAGGGTGAGTCACGGGGATGTCTAGAGAAAGCACCTTCCAGGCAGAGTGCAAAGGTCCTGAGGGGTGCCTGGAATGGTAGCAGATTAGTTAGGAGGCCAGAGTGACAGGAGCAGAAGGACTGAACGAATCAGGTCAGAGTGCATAATGGGAAATGAGATCAGAAAAGTGATGAGAAGGGGCATTTGCAAAGCATTACCAAGCCTTACAGGCGACTGAAAAGGTTTTCTCTCTTACTCTGGAGAAACAGAGAACCACTGCAGATTCTGAGCAGAGGAGTGATGTGGTTGACTTAGGTTCTAACTGATCGCTCTAGCTGCTGTGCTGAGTCTAGACTGTAGCAATGCAAGCAGGGATCCAGATAGGAGGCTATTAAAATAAACAAGATAAGAAATGATGGTAACTCATACCGGGTGGCAGCATTGCAGGTGGTAAAAAGTGGTTAAATTCTGGATCTATTTGGAAGGTAACATTGGTGGACTGAAGTGAGTCTCAAAATAGTCCTCTCTTTCAACATCCCACCAAAACTCCCTGGCGGTTGGATGCCCAGTCTCTTTAACACTCCCAGTAACGGGGAGTTCACCCCCTACCTTAGAATAGCTGCTCCTCTGCTGGGGATGACTGTTAGAGAGGGCGTGCTCCCTGCCCAAGACGCATCTGTGGTCTGGCAGGGAAATCTTCAATACAAAAACTGAGTATAGCCTCCCCTCCCCGTCCCCCAGCTCAATAGAGAGATCAAAATAGGCCAACCCTCAAATCCTCCTTCCCTCCATCCTCAGCTCACTTCTGCCCTCTGTGGCTGACCAGGACAGCTGACCGATAGAATACCAATTCTATACAATAGGCATTCATGTATTGGACGGTACTATCACATCTTCCCTAAAATCTTTTCGAAGCTCAAATTTCCTAATTCCTACACTGTTCCTAATAAAGCAGGCTTAACTATCCACTCTGGCCAAGCTCTGATTTGTCAATGCCATTCTTAAAATAAGGCACAGGACTGAACCCACCCCTCCAAGACGCTTTAAGTATCCACATCTGGGGAACTAATTCTTCCTGAAACCTTCCCGCTCTGCTTCCTGAAAATGCCCGCCCATTTACACAGCCCAAGATTGAGTCTTACTCCTGAATCACATTGTTTTCTCACATTGAATCTGGGACTTAACCAGATTCACAAGCTCTTTTCTGTTGGAACTTCTGCCAACCCCTGTGCCCACCTCTCTGCCCACTTCCTTACCCCTGTCTACTGCCTCATCTGCAGTTTTGCAATGGGTTAGTTTCTAATTTAAATGAAATGCAATTTTTAAAAATCCCTGTTAGGTTTTAGCATGCTTGTTTTGACCTAGCATTCTACCTTGTGGAAGAATTTAAACTTTGCTTCAGTTCTCCAATGTGTATCCCCAAATCAACCTTACTATGAACTATCTTAGGTGGTGCCCAAGACATGCAAATGCTTCCTTGGTCCAGTATGTTTCAGTGGGACTCTCAGTGCACTGATTCATTAGCATCCAACAATTCTGCGAGATTTTAGATGGAGCCTGGCCTTGGAACCAAACAAAAGGCTCACTCATTAGGCAAACATACCCTTCATGAATTTCCTGTTCCCAGAATCCTGGGCTCAGGGCTGGACATGATACAAAGGAAACAAAGGAGATGCCAAAAGGAATCTGAATCATAGTGCCTGAGAAAGGACCAACACAGTGGCCCTACATCCAACTGACACTGACCCCTCAGGGGTATAGATGGATCCCAAGTTGCTAAAGCTGTGAGAATGAGTTGTGGGGAAAGGAGGAGGAGAGAAGTGTCTTGGTCTGTAAGTATTTGTGGGAGCTACGATCAAAACGAAGGAGAAAACAGGAGTGCTTTCTATACTAAGTGAAAGCACAGAATAGGGGAAGGAAGGTGGGTGCAGGTGGGTCCAGGAGGAGGTCAGTGTTCAGTGAGCTTTCTGCATATCTCTGGCTTATCCACGGTCTGTGCTGCTTGTGAACAGCTATCTCTGCTGAGCTTTGTGGTGAAGGCAAAAATAAAGAGCAAAAACAGTGAGCTTGTGATGAAAGGCCAGCCCTGCCCATCTTCCCACGGGGTCGGATTTTGAGTCTTGCTCTTGAAAACACATCTTCAGTTGGCTTCTCCCCTTGATGTTTTCTAGGAAATGGATCATATCGTCAACCAAATGCTGCACATTGCCCAGTATCTCGAGTGGGATCCCACGGAGCTAAGGCCTGTGAGTTTCCAGAAGCATGGGGTGTCTTCTAAGTGAGCTTCCAAGATGAGAGGGGGAGTTGGAAACAAATGTTTACTGTGCAAGGCTCTCCCAGACTCATCTTACAGGCGGCTTCCCTGGGGTCCTACACTTGGACCTCCCACTTCTCTGACAGGAAAAATTAGAGGCAGCAGGGAAAAATGTAGACTAGGTCAAATAATACTAGTAGTACCCCTAATTTTTTCACCAGAGCTAAATATTTGTAACAGTTCATGTATCAAAGAATTAAGAGCTGGAAAGAATTTTAAAGGTTTTTCTCAATCATCAGGTAATACTAATATTAATGATATTATTAATTGTAGATAATATTAATAATAATTATATTTGAGGGCTCCTGTGAGTCTGATACTCTCTTTGGCATTTTATATACGTTTTCTCAAATCCTCACTACAGTGCTGCAAACATAGCCATACTAGTTGCATTTTACAGATGAGCAAAGCAGGACCCAGACAGTCGGAGTGGCTTGCCCAAGGTCACAGAGTTAGTTAGGACGGGGCAGAGCCAGGCCTGGAACCCTGTTCTCCTCACCTGCATTTGCTTCCTCCCTGCTCCACTCACTCTGAGTCATAGGGAAAAGGGGGAAAACACAAGCCAGAAAACACGGAACAAAAGAGAAAGAAGAGGGAGGGGAGGGCACAGAGAGGCTGAGGATGAAAGTGGACAGTTTGTGGCTCTGTGGATTCCGCAGATACTGAAGGAGATGTTACAAGGGATGGACTACGACCGGGACGGCTTTGTGTCTCTCCAGGAGTGGGTCCACGGAGGGATGACCACCATCCCATTGCTGGTCCTCCTGGGCATGGACGACTCTGTAAGTGGCAAGCTTGAGCTCCAACATCTCTTGCCTTTCAGAAACATCAGGCTCCATGTGGAGGTCAATATCCTTGGCTTCTGCCCCAGACAATGGAAACCCCATATTCTCTAGGCCAGCCCCAAAGTCCTCTCTTTGTACTTAATAGTGCCTGAAATACATTCATTAATTTGACAAGCATTTATTCAATCATTACTAAATAAAGATACTGTTCTGAGGGCTGCAAGGGGACACAGATACAATATTCACCCACTGGAAGCTTATGCTCAGCCAGGCAAAGGGCAGAAAACATTCAAAGAAGAATTCCATCTTTTCTACAAATTAGGTTTAAGAATGCTGAGAGTTGGGGAAGGAAGGAAGGAAAGGAAGAAAGAAAGAAAAAAATTCTGATCTGTTCTGAGGTGAATGTGTTAAATTATGATATCGTATTTAACAATCAAAACAACCAAATAAGGTAGATTATCTTTTTCACCCCTTCATACAGATGGAAAACTGAGATTCTGAGCCAGAAGAGCCAGGGGAAGAGCCAGCATTTATCTGTACTTGACTCCAAAATCTGCACTTTCTAATGCCCCACACTTAGGAGTGAGCCCGGTGGAAGAAACCGTGGAGGGTGTCTGCCCTGACTCTGAAGGGTGCGTGGGATTCTGATATCCCAGTCTTGAGATAAACAGCAAGTGGAAGTGCCTAGGATATTTGATCTGGCTCTCAAGGATGGATGTGATTTGGATGGTAGAAGAGAGAGTTTGTGGCCAGAAGAATAGCTTGATCAAAGGTCCAAATGGAAGAAAGTTCAGGATATATCAAACTTCCCAGTGCGATCAGCCTAGGAAATACACGTAGAGGTTTAGTGTGAAATTGCTGGCTGCATATGCCTGCATCTGACCTAGTCTGCTTATTTACCATGAGAAGTAGCTTCCATACACGAGGTAGGAAAGATTAAAAACTAGAAGTACAAATGGTGACGTTAGAACTTACCAGGCCAAGTCACACAAGTTGCATGACAGCACCTGTTTGAGAGTACTGAAGTGTCAAGAGAGAGGAACAGAACAGGAAGCTCAGGGGGGTCAGCCTCTAGCTGACGTTCTTGCCCATAATGTGTCCATCTGATGGTTCTGCAATTCAGGACTAAAGCTGAGCCTTCATTTCCAGCACTCAAGGAGACTGAGAATCCTGCAGTTATCTCACAGCCTGTCCAGTTCTTCCCAAGTGCTAATTAGAAATCAAGGAACCAGGATCTACACACTCCCTTTTTGTTCCTTTCTTAAAACCCCAGGAGGTCAGAGCTGGAAGAGACCTTGGTGATGCCTGGTTTACCCCCTTGATTTTTCATACTGAGGTCCAGAGAGGTAACAGTGCCTGCCCATGGACATACACCTAGTTAGTACCAGAGGCCACCTTCCATATTCAGTAACAGCAGACTTCTCATGCAGTGATTCCTTACCAAGAACCTACTGTGTGCAAGAGCCCCCATGAGCTAGGACCTGGGGGTGCTCAGATAAGGAAGATATACTTCCTATCACTCCTCAAGATTATATCTGCCTGAGAGTGGAAGTTCTGCTTGAGTGCTGTTTCAACACACCTGTTTTTTCTCTGAAACATGAGAATAGAAATGAGACATTTTAATCACAAGGAACCAATTTCTAGTTCTATTTCCTATTTTGGACTTGCTGAGACCAAAGTGCCACCAGCCCTTTGCTTGGAGAGGACCCCCCTGTTTTATGGCTGGAAGAGGGAGAGACAGACTGTTTCTTTAACATTCTCCCCAGTGTCTCCCCCCTATGCCAGATCAGCCTTCTAGAAAACCATACTTTAAAAAAAAAAGAAAAGAAAACCATATTTTATATCAGGGAAATGCAAACAAAAAGCAAATATGTGTTTGGTTTTTAATAATGAATTTTTTTTGTGTTTATTTGAAAATATGCACTGAATTAAAAGTTTTTACATTTAATATTTTGGTACTAGAGAAAACATTCCTCAGTGTCTTAAAAGTCACATTGCTTGTTTGGCTTTTTTCAAAACCCACATATGGCCACTGAAAAGTCTGGGGATCTCTGAATGGGGTATATGAGAAACGATCTGTCTCCCAGGGAAACTGCAGCTTCAGCATAAAACCTGGCATGCACAAGGAAGGTGACTCCCACGCCCTGCGGCCTCCCACGTGCAGAAATGAAAGAGCCACACGATGGCGCTATAACCCAAGCAGAAATGTTAACTTCATCCTGGGTCAGGGTCCCTTTGCCACTTACCCTGCATCTATGAAAATACTATCTGGGAAAGCAAGAGTCAGCTAATCGATTTCGCTAATAAAGGTATTTTCAGGTCAGATGACCGTCCTTTGGGCTGCATGAAGAAGGAGCAGGTCTGCTAGGACTGTAATTTCTGTTCTGTCCACGAAGGAAAACCCTGGTCTGTGGAGGTAGAGGAAAGGCATGGAAGGAGCATGGGCTCGGAGGCCAGCAAGAGCCCCTAGAGTGACCACCGGCTGGGTATCATTTGTGTGGCCTTGAGCTATTGTTTATGTAACTTCCCTGATTCATTTCTAGACAAGGTGTATGTCTATCTCCTTACACATAGGAAAACACCGTGAGCTTATTTTTGTGTCCCCCTGTTTAGCGTGGAGTAGGAACTTGCTGAAAGTTTTCATTTACAACGTGTCAGGCACTGGATTAGGAGCGTCACTTACGTTATTTCATTTAATTCTTACAGACATCCCTTGAGGTTGATGTTTGTCAGAGGAATGAATGACTCGAAGTTTTAATGAATCATTTCATCACTTAGTGAACCCATTTATGAAAGTAGAAGCCATAGATACAAAGGCTTCAATTCTGTAAAACTCAGGTTTGGGAAGCAGCAGGGTTCAGAGGTGGGGAGAAGAAAAGAGCTTATCCTGGCCATGGGAGGAGACCAGCATCTGGAGAAGCACATGGACCCCTCTAGAGACCACTGGAACGGGAGTGAGCACAGGGGTGGATCTGGCCGCCATGACCAGCCCAAACCAGAGGGGCCCGGGAGTAAGACGTGGGTTTCAGTCCAGCACGTTGGACTCCGTGTTCCTGACTCTCGATCCTTATCACCTTCCGGCGCTTTTCACTACCCTTGAGATCAGCCCAAGAGTGTTACTCTTCTGGTGGAGCCTATGACAAAGGTTCAGGGACACTGTATGTGGAGAGAGGTTTCTGAAGCACAGCCCTCAGCAAGGCTGCACTCCCAGGGGCTAGAAGGTGGGCGCTTCAGTGTCCAGGGAAGGTGTGTGACTATGTGAGGCTTGGCTTCTCTGCTGGAAAAGGATGAGTTCCCTTCTGAGCCAAGTCAGGAGGAAGTGGTTTAACCCTCTCTCTGTCTCTGTCTCTTTGCTGTTTTATCTGTGTACAGAAAGTCGATGAGAGGAATACATTACTAAGCTATTTTTGAGAACATACTCACCGTAGAAAATTTGGAATCCCAAGTGCCACTAGCTAACTTCTGCCAACAGTTTGGTGACATTTTTCCCATCCAAGATATTATTGTATAAAACCAAGATAATAATATATCATCAAATTTGCATTCTGGCTTTTTTTACTCAGCACGTTCCCAAGCTATTCCATTGTCTTGTAAAACCTCTTTGATGGCCACTTAACCTGGAGTCATACAGATGGACCTCCGACCTTTTGGCCATTTTGAGGCCTTTAGGATACTTTCAGTTTTTCATTACTGTAAATAATGCTGAGTTATACATCTGACAGGGCACAGAAGTGCTCATCTAGCTTTCAAAAACGATTTCGATAGACTCCAGGAATGGAAATTTTTAAGTTGAAGGTCATAAACATTTAAAGGACCTTGAGATAGGTAGGTAGGTAGGTAGATAGCTAGACAGATAGACAGATAGATGGATGATTGGTAGATAACAGATGAAAGAAAGAGAAAGAGAAAGAAAGAAGTTTGTTCTGATTCCCACTTCCGCCAGCCGTGCAGGCGAGGGCTAATTTTATCCCCTCCACACAGACTCCACTCAGATATTCCTAATTGTTAATATTTTATATTCCTAATTGTTAATATTTGCTTATTTTAGAAACTACACACACACAAAGAATTTTGTTTTGATTTGCATTTCTATTAAAAGAGTCCATACGACAGTAAAATAAAGGAATAACTTGTCTTTCAAATATGAGGAGAGACTCTTTTTAGGAAAAAGAGGCCATGCAGGAGGCGGCCCCTGGCTCCTGCCCCCGTGGGGCTGCCTACTCAGCGTCTCATTCCCTTGCTGTCCCTGCAGGGTCCCAAGGGGGACGGAAGGCACTCCTGGACCTTGAAGCATTTCAAGAAACCAACCTACTGCAACTTCTGCCACATCATGCTGATGGGTGTTCGGAAGCAAGGCCTGTGTTGCATTTGTGAGTAACCTTCCTTCAAACCCCCTTCCCCAGGCACTCTCTTGCTCTGCACATGGATAGGCCATTGCCGGGAAAGTCTAGGCATCTCTGCTTCTTAGCTTGAGGGGCCTGCCATATTGTTCCAACAGCAGGAAGTAAAGTGAGACCCCCATGTCCTATTTGTGTTCTGCCCAAGTCAAATGGACGAATATTGTCCTATTGGATTCCCGTCATGGGCCACCGATTCCCTAGAAAAAAGTTATTCAGGTTCATGTGAAATTAAAAAGCATCTCATATGAATTTCAATTGGGTTTTGCTTGTGACTGTTTTGGGTGGTCAGGAGAACCTGGTTTTTTTAATTAATATGCAATTATATTCATAAATGCAATGGAAATTAAAATTTTTTGTTTCACCTTATAACCCATTTAGTAAAGTCAGAGTGGAGAGGAGGGAAAAACACACGTGGAAAAGGAGGGAGGGAGGCTGGAAAGGAGAACAAAAGAAAGATGGAAGGAAGGGGTGGTATAAGAAAGGAGGTAGATTCAGGGAGCAGGAGGCGGGGAGGGGCCGCAGCAAGAAGACTTTGCAGGGCCCGGGTATGTGGGTGCAGAGTCCTGCCAACCACCCCAGAATACAGACAGCAGACATTCAGCCTGGACCCACCTGAGAGTGGGGAGCTGCTGCTGGAGGCAGAGGGGCCCTCAGGCGCGGGGCAGGTCACCAAACAGTGTCATGTGGCACGCACGCGGGAGCTCAGCAGCAGGCGACCTCCGCCACAGAAGTCATCTTAGCAGAGCTAGGCCCGGTGTCCACCAAGACAGGCATCGGCAGGCAAAAGAAGGGGCCCCTAGTCTTCCCAGCACCCATTCGAATCCAGCTTTCATTGTAGATCCTTTTGGGTTCTACGCCTGTGGGCCTCAGCTGTTGGCCTAGTAGCAACAGCGAGAGTCATCTGTGGAATAGCTGTTCTGATCCAGACACATGGTGCTTTGTACAGATTATCTCATTTAATGCCACAAAGGGCCCACAAAGAGAGAAAGAGGCAATTTTATTCCCATTTTGGAGAAAACCCTGAATGTCAGGGTGGTGAGGGAACATACCCTGGATCATATGGGTAGTTACAGATGGTGGAGCCAGAGTTTGGGCCCAGGCCTGCCTGGCTCCAGAGGTAGGAAGACTCCTGGCCTTTCTATCCACTCCCCACATCCCGACATTCAGTACTGTGGCACTAGCATCCCTGGGAGGATGGCTTCTCATCCTCTCCTGAAGTCAAAAGTGATGTTCTGGGCATGTTTTCATGCTGCGTTCACTGCCCATGGTGGGAGGCAGCAGGGCAGACAGGTTGGAGGGTGCAGGAGCGTGTCTGGGAGATAACCGTGGATGCTCTTCTCAGTGAGCGACTGGAGACTTTCGACTTTCCATTAGGCAAGGCCAGCTCCAGGGTACGTCCCCTGCCCCAGGCTGGCCACGCAGAGGGAGGCACAAGCTAGAGTGAGGGGACAGGGCTGGGGATGAGGGGTGAGGGGTGAGGGGTGGCTGACCCTTCCTAGGTGGTGACTCACAGCCACTTTTCTTTTTTTTTCAGACTGTAAATACACTGTCCACGAACGCTGTGTATCCAAAAACATACCTGGGTGTGTCAAAACGTACTCAAAAACCAAAAGGGGCGGCGAGGTTGGTGACACCTATTACCTGTTCTCCCGCATGCTGTGTGCCAGGCAACATGTCCATCTCCACAGACTTCTAGGCAGGAAGGGGCTTTGGGAGCTTTATCCAGTCCCTTCTGTGCCTCGAGGACCACCCTGAAACCATCTTGTTCATCCATCAATCCATTCAGCATCTCCCCAGTGCCCACAAGTGCCAGGCACTGTGTTAGGGGGTACGGAGGTTGAAAGGTGGTCCTCAGCCTGGAGGCCTGTGCAGGCCAGTGGGAGGAGACAGGCACAAGAGCAAAGCCCAAAGCAGTGAGGTAAGCAGTAGCAATAGGGCTGTGCGCGACATGCAGCTGAGGCACCACGGAGGGCAGGGCAGGGAAGCTTTCATAAAGGAGCTGGCATTTGACTTGCGTCTTGAACCCAAATCAGGAGGATTTCATAAGGAATCAGGGAGGACAAGGCACCCAGGCTAGAAGAGCCTTGGGTGTAATGGCATAGGGACATGGCTTATTCTGGGATCTGTACCTGGTTAGGTATGACCAGGATAGAGGATGCTTAAAGGGCAGTGGCAGGAGATGTGCTCCAAAACTGGGGTGACTTGGCTGGGGAAGGTCTTGTGAGGCCACCCGAGTTTTTGGGAAGGAATTTCGTATGCAGCTAAAGGGCCTTGGAAGAATTTTGAGCACATGAAGAAACAACTGGGTTTGCAAATAAGGTTAATTGCTCTGACCAGGGTGCAGGAGAGAGAGCAGATCAGAGTGGGGGAAAAACTTCCAACAGTTCAGGCAAGAGGCCCTGGTGCACTCAGGGCCTGACTGGGGCAGGGTGCACTCACCCGCTATGCTCTGATATGTCCACAGCAGCACAGGGGTGGCTGTGTCTGTGCGGAGCGCGTCTCCCACAGCCGTGCCATTTGCTGAGTATTTTGAATGTCCCACTGGCTAAAGGGGGAGTTTGAGAGATAATTTGAGATACTACCACCAGGACTTGGTGATGAGGATGTAGGCGATGAGAGAGGGGGAAATGTGGAGAATGGCTACCAGCTTTTTAACATGGCCATCTGGGGGGTGCCATTCACAGAGCCTGGAAATAGATTCTTCTTCCAGTTAGCAGGAGAAGGGCACTCTGAGTGCCTGCAGAGGGAAGACCCCATAGACGAGTCTGAGTCAGGAGATGGTTAGCACGTGGGAGTGGTGTCTGCCCTCCCCAGGAGGACTCCGAGAGAAGGGCGCCTCCAAGGACACACATGCATGCCCATGAGACACCGCATGGCCTCATGTCTCCTTCAGTACCATGCCCATACACACCTCTCCGTGTCCATGCTTTTCACCAGGACATGTGCTGCACCTCCTGGGCTCAGGCCCTAAGCCTGCACTCCAGCCGTTGGCACACTTGGAACAGAGGGAGACCACCGAGTGGCCAGCAGGGCACATTCACGACCTTCTGAGTCTCCAGGGGCAGCCCAAGTCCTTCACCATCTTTTCCGACCCCAGAAGAAGATGGAGAAGACAACGTGGTGTTGGGAGATTACTATGGACTTGGAGTCAGAAGACCTGGCCATGAGTCCCTGCTTGGCCACTTAACAGCCTTGCAACCTAGGGCCAGTCACTTAACCTCTCTGAAGCCTCGTTTTTTTCTCTGTAAAATGCAAATAATAATAATCCCGTTGCAAATAATGTGACCAGGTAGATGATAGACTGATTAGTAAGCTGGGTTCTTTTTACCTTCAGGAGTGAGTGGCAGAAGGTGAGAAATAAAAGTGATACAACTTCTAGAGCAATGATTTGACCAAAAACCTTGTGGAAGGAAGACAAACTTAATTGATAAGTAACTTAAAGCATTTATCTAATGCAGACATGGAGGGCATCATGCAAATATTCCATGTTTTTAATATTGTGCTTGTAGTTAGCACTTCAGGCTATGTCCCCATGTTCCACCAGAGTCCATATCCACCCCCCTCTGCTATTCGAGGTACCCTGGTAGGAATTTTTTGAGAAGTTCTATAGAATTCCTGGGGGAATTGACTGAGGGGCTGAGGCCCCCAGAATTTGGAGTCATGGGTAACTTTGCACTTACAGACACACCCACTCATGCATCCCACCTGCTTCCAAAGTTCCTAGGCTGCCTTAGGGCCATCTCCTGGCCCAGAAGCAGGTACAAGCAGCTCTTCAGGGGACAGTGTGGAGCCCCTGGCTGATGACCTGCACCAGCTCCTTTGGATTTTCTTTCTTAACTTCCTTCCAGAGTGCTTCTCAACCTTGGCTGCGTATTACAATCACTCAGCGTGCTTTGAAACACACGAATGATAGATCTCATCCTCCAGAGACTCTAATTTATTTGGTCTGGAGTGAGGGCTGGGCGTTAGGACTTCTAGAAGCTTCCTAGGTGGTCCTGAGGGGCTGCTAAGGCTGAGAGCCCCTGGCGCATCGAAGACAGAAGGGGTAAGGGAGCTCCCCTTCAGGGGCACTTCCCAAGGGCCGCGACTGTGCCAGGAAGGTCCTTGCAAACGTGCCGTCTTATTTAATCCTCCCAGCAAACCTAGAGGTGGAGCTTATTTTGCCAATTTATACAGATGAGGGACCTGAGACTCAGAGAGGTCCAGGAACTGGCCAAAGGTCACCCTGCTGCGAAGTGGAAGATCAGTGACTCCAACCAGTTCTGTGCTGCTCAAGCCCTCCCACGTTCCCCTGCATCGCGCTGCCTTCCAGAAGAGGGCGCCCACAAGCACATCCCTCTGCAAAGAGTTCTGCAAGACAGACGGACAGCCTGACGAGATGCTGCTCCGAGGCTTGACTGCCAGGGATAATGAACTGTTTAAAGAGCAGGCAAAGTGGCTTTTCATCCACCTTGATTAGCATGATAGCGGTTAGGCAGGGAGCAACCACAGCAGTGCAATTCAGCAAAGCAGCCCAGCATCAACAAGTGCGTCCACTAAACAGGAAACAACCCTCTCTGGCCGCTGCCCACCCCACTCGCCCCTCCCCACCGCCCAGGCCCTGTGCTCCTCCCCGACCCTTCTCCTCAGGCCCAGGGCCCAGGGGCCGAGTTCTGCAGCCATCCCTGGTATCCTTCCCTTCCCTCCTGCAGGTGATGCAGCACGCGTGGGTGGAAGGGAACTCCTCTGTCAAGTGTGACCGGTGCCACAAAAGTATCAAGTGCTACCAGAGTGTCACCGCGCGGCACTGCGTGTGGTGCCGGATGACGGTGGGTTGGCGCCCAGGGCAGCCCTGCTTCCTTTCAGTGTGGTTTTTGGCTCAGCTGTGGACATCCTGCCAGAGGGCGTGAGCAGAGCCAGGGGACAGGATAGAGGCAAGGGGGCTCAAAGCCCCTGTTCAGTCCCTAAGTCTGGGAGCCTCCAGTGAATCACCAGGCTGCCCAGAAGAGGGCACCCCCAGAACCAGGGGAGTGTGGGCTGCTTGAGAAGAAGCTGGCCGATCCACTGGTGTTACGGCCAGGCAGCTGTGAACAGCAGGCTGGACCGTGGACTTCCTTCGCCTGCATGTCACCCAGGGCCAGGGCGCTGACAGAGTGGGAGAGGTTTTAGACACCAGGATCCCTGCATCAGAGGAAAGCACACTCTTGACAGTCTCCGCTGCCTGGGCCAGAGGCCTGTGCCTGCTGCCACCGGGCAGGCGAGTGTCCGCTTCCTCCTTGGACACCTGGAGCTGCCCGACGTGCCTTCCAAAGCAAGCCCAGTACCATGTCTAGTCCCCTTGACCAGGTGTCAGCCTCAAGAAGGACGTGTCTCCAGATCAGACTATGAACTCTTGAAATGCAGAGGTTGCATCGTGGGGTTCAAATCCAGCCTGTCATGAGTTTCTTCAACCAGATCTCCTTCCTTCCAGTGTCTCAGAGCCTCGGGAGCAAACCCAAGGCGGGCTCTGGAATCCACGTGGGGCTGCCACACTGACGGGCCACAGACCTGCTCGGGGCTGTTTGGCCCCGGCTGCCTGGGCAGCACTGGGTCTCCTTCCTCTGTTTACGACAGACACACACCACACACCACACATACCGTACCACAGACCACACACACCACACACATCATACACACCACACGCACAGCACATACCATACACACCACAACGCACCCCCCATCCACATTACACACCACACACTCAAACACACACACCACACATGCCACACAAACCACACACTACACACACACATCACCCTTACACACCACACGCTTAAACATACACACCATACACACCATACACACCACACACACATACCACACACACACACTCTCTCTCTCTCTCTCTCTCTCTCATATACTGCCAAAGCCAACAGTGAATCAGGATTTGGAGGAGCACTCAACAGCCTGCCTCCCCAGTAAATCTCCAAACCCTCATACTTGACATTTCCTTGACTTTCATTCACACTCATCTTCATTGTTCCCTCCAGTTTCACCGCAAATGTGAACTGTCAACGTTGTGTGACGGTGGGGAACTCAGAGACCATATTCTGCTGCCCACTTCGATCTGCCCCGTCACCCGGGTAAGTGCTGCTGCCCTGCCAGGGCTCCGCCCCCGCCCCCCGCCACCCCTGCTCACATTTCAGATGCAGGCAGCTTTCAGACAGCCACATCCTCAGAGGGCCTTCCTCCACAACTCTTAGGTTTCATGTTTTCAGCATGAATTTGAAAGAGGTCAGTGCTGTGCTGTCAGACTGTGAGGGAAGACTTCTCTGACTGAAATAATTCCAACTGCTGGCCACCCAGTGCGCTCTGAGATGGCCCATCAAGGAAAGCACGTTCATTCCAAGCACCTTGCAGGCAGATCACCGTTCAGGGAACATCAGTCACCACCTGTGCACAGCTAGGCTTCCCAGGCCTCCCTTGTCCCTGTCACCCTCTCTCCTGTGTCCAAACATGGACCTCCCTCTGCCTTGAAGATTTCCACCTGGGTGTCTCAGCCCTACTTGGAAACGAAGCTGTGAAATTAAACCCCATTTATCCCCACCTGGAACTTTTTCTGTCTCCCATGTTGAAGTCCCCTCTCTCAAACCAAGCACCAAACACCTTAACTGTTCTCTTTCCATCTTAAAGATGCTGCTGAGTGCCACTGATTCCTCACATCTCACGCTTGACTTGACCATCTTCTTTCTCATTAAAAACCAAAGAAAAACCACCACTTCTGAAAACCACTTGGCAGTACCTACTAAGTTGGAAATACACAAACTCTGTGCCCGATAAGTCTCCTCCTGTGTATCTACCTGAGAAATACGAGCATTTATTCTACCAAAAGGCAGGTACAAGCATGCTCATATCAACTTTATTCACATCAAACACTGAAAATAAGCTAATGACGCACTGACAAGAGAATAGATAAGTAAGTTGAGGCATATTCATACGGTACAATACTACATTGCAATGGAAAAGAACTATGTTTAGAAGCAAAAATATGGATAACCCTCAAAATACAATGCTGAACAAAAGAAGTTAGACTCATAAAAAGACATGGTCTATGATTCCATTTATATGAAATTCAAAAGCCAGGCAAAACCAATATGACATCAGGAGTCACAGCAGAATTACTACGCCAGAAGAGGTGGTAGCTACAAGGGCCTTAGGTGTGTAGAAATTCATGGAGCTGTAGATTTAGATTTGAGCATTTTACTATATGTGACATAAATCTCAATAAAATAAATAATAAACATTGAAAAGAAAAACCAATACAAGATAAATTACTTATTCAGTATCACAGTGTTTAGATAGTGCTGAGCAGAGAAACCACATTGAGGACCTTGCTTCTCAAAGTTCAAGCTTCTAACTCAACAAAGTAGATTCCTGCTAACTTCAGTGCTTCCTCTCCCTATGTCCCTTCCAGTGTCTCGAAGTTAAAGTCAGGGCAAGTGATGTCAGAGGCCTGGAGAGTCCTAGAGAAACCCAAAGGGAGCATTTCTTTTTTTAGGTCCAAAGCCCCACTTTGAGAAGTGCCTCCCTACACTATACTGGTTTTCTGTTCTCTCTCCTTAGGATAACCATTTGTTTTTTCTTCTGAGCTCTCTCCTTTTTTTTTTTGTATTAGACATATTTCTTCAAAAGATGCTTGTCTTTCCTCTCTTCTCACAGGACAGGCAAGATGGGAAGTCGGATGGTAGCATGTCAGCCAAGGGTGAACTTATAATGCAGGTACCTCAGCAAAAGCCCCCAGTCTCCTCATTCATTCTAAGTGGGTCCAAGGCTCTGGAGGGGAGGACAGGGTTTGGGTTCTAGAGAAACACATCTCAACCTTTGCTTTCTCATCCGACCAATTATATCACACAGGACGCTGTATTTCCAGCCTCTGGAATTATCTTCAACAACTACACTGTAGGCAAGTGGTGAGAAGGGAGGTAGGTCGATCCCATGGCTGGCCAGACTGGCTTTATCACCTTTTAAGAACACATTGCATAAAACTTCAGTATGCAGACCTCCTGAATAATAACAAGAATGTGGCCTAAAAATAGACAGTTGAGTCTTCCAAGACTGCCAAGCTGTCTCCAGAATGTGATCTGCCAAAACAAAGTTCACCACATCCAAAAGTTCTCCTTCATCCTTAAATGTATATTTAAGAACTCATTTTTCACATGAATTCACCAGTGAGCTCCTCTTTGTGCCTTCCACAAAGTTCCAGGAAAGGCAGCCTGGTGAGGTACAGCGAGTGCTAGAAAAGGAGATACAACAGGGCTCCTCTGCCTCTGAGCCTTAAGTTTCCTTGTCTGGAAAGAGGCAGAGTGGCCCCTGCACTGCCCACCTCCCAGAGATGCTCCCAGATCCAATGAGAACATGCAGATTAGTGCAAAACTTTGGTGATAATGATGGCTGAACCTTAACGTGGGAAATCTCTAGACACCTTGAAGGGCAGAAAGCCAGATGGAGCAGAGACAGACACACACACACACACACACACGATGCAGGTCAGTTGTTGACAGCTGGCATCTATCTGGTTATCCTGCGTCTCTTCCAGTTGGACAGTGCCCACGCTGTATACTGGCTATGAAATATTTTGAATATCACCCCCAGAGATAAAAATGAAATTACTCCTCAGGCTCTAAGATGCTTCTGGGTATCTCACAAATAATCACCCTTGGCAGATGAGAACATTCCTAAAAGTTATAAAGAGTGTTGCTGTCCACTTCAAACACTATGGCACTGTGTTTGCTGAATTTTAGCTTGAGATCTGGAAAGGGAGGCACTAGGTATGAATATGGAGCAGAGCAGCCTGTCTGGATCTACGTGTCCTTCTGCTGAACCCACAAGTATGCTGAGGACCCGCTCTTGAATCTGGTGCAGTGGGGTCCTTGGTTGGAGGGTTGTTCACACACCTGCCCAGCTCCTGAGGCATTTAAAATCCAGTTAATATTTTGAGAAATTTACTTCAGAAGATTATATATATATATACAAATAAACAATAACAAAAGAAACCCAGAAGACAGGACGTGCTTCAAGTGCAGTCATTATAGCTGCAATCATCAAGGAAAACTTCATGAAATAGCTCTTGAATTGGGCTCAGGGGAGGAGAAGTTTTTTTTAAGAGGTTGCAAAGAAGGAAGAGGGGGTATTTCAGGGCAATAAGGAGGAGAAGGAATCTGTGTGAGGGTCCCCATAGGGTGGGAATTCAGGAGACACACTAGAGGGTAAGAGCTGGGCTTGGCTGGAACTGTGACGAGGGTTAGAGTAACTGAGGGGGAACAGTAGAATGGGGCTGCATTAAATGCCTTGCATGCCAGGTGAGGAAATTTGGATTTTATCCTCTGGGTGATGAGGTGTCATTAAAGGTTTTTGAGCAGGAGTGGCATGACTAATGTGATGTCCTGGAAAGGACATGGGGGGCGGCGTGCAGGACTTACCTGAAGTGGGAGGAGCCCAAGCAGTGTAGGTGCTGTGGCAGCTGCTCCAGGTAGAGAGACATTCCAGGGAAAGACAGGACAGAGTCTTCCCTGAATGACTGGATGAATAATAATAATAGCCAGGAGAAAGGACAAGTTTTGTGGGGAAAGAAGATAAGTCAGGTTTAGGGTGTGCTCTGATAAGACATCTGGCTTGAAGGTACCCACTGGGCAGTGACAAATGTGGGACCAGGGCTCCAGAGGAAAATCGGGGCTGGATTTGTGGATTGGGAGGGTGCTGGGGTGGAGGTGATGGTTAATCCCATGGCTGTTGCTTTATCTAGGTTTAGAACCAGATGACCATACCTTCTAAGATTATATTTAGTTGGATCCCTCACAAGATCTGATCTTGTGCTGTGGGCACAATGCCACACCATTGTTGAATAATTTCAAGCTATGATGCCACTGCCCCGTCTCTGATCCTGACCTCAAACTTTCATCCCTGTTAACATTGCTTAAAGGCCACTTAGGCAGGAGAAACTTAGCTGCTTAATCCCTCAGAAAACTCAGCCAGTGGACAAACACCTACCACCTCCTGACCTCCTCTCCTCCACGCCTGGATCTACTTGCCAGTCACCTCTCCCAGAAACTGTCTTGGCACTGACTCTCATTGCTTTCCTCCTATTGCCTGAAACAGAGCTAATTTCTTTTTCTTTTGCCTTTTAAGTATAAGATCATCCCCACCCCGGGTACCCACCCCCTGCTGGTCTTGGTGAACCCCAAGAGTGGAGGAAGACAAGGAGAAAGGTATGTTCTCTTCTTTTCCAAGATGGGGAGGCTGGGTCAGCCTGACTGGGGTCCATCCTTCCCCTCAAGCACAACAGCGTGGGCAGTGGAGACAGGCAGACCTGCAGTCCAGTCCAGCCCCACCACAGACCACTTGATGACTTAATTCAAGTAACTTAACGCCCCTGTGCCTCCGTTTGCTCTTCTGTAAGATGGAAGTAATAATCATGTCTCCTCCTATAGGGCTTTTGTGAGCATTAAAATAGACACAGCGCTTAGCCGAGGGCCTGTCACGTGAGCCGTTATTTCCGGTTCCCAGGGTCAGACCAAGTTCTGAGATGCCTGTTAAATTCCCAGCCTTCCAAGTCTTGTCTTTTCTTTTTTTTTAACATTTTTTTATTGATTTATAATATCTAAGTCTTTTCTTGATAAAAGAGTTGTGGTGGAGGCACCTGGTTGAGACCTCCTGGCCTATCCCATCCCTGAGAAAGCAGGGCACCCGTCTCATCAGTGACAGAAACACCTAGTCTGCTGGAAGCACGTGGGGGTGGGGGTGGATGGCCAGAGCAGCTCTGGCTGCCAGTGTTCAGCTCTGGGGTTAGGAACAGATGGCATGGTGATCTGGAATCCAGGTTTTAAAAAACAGTAAGTAGCACCTAAGTGAGAATTGAGAGCCTCCACCCCAGTCCTAGGGCAGAGCACCCCTCCTGAACTGACCTGATTAGCCTCAAGCTGGAGCCTTGAAACCAAGCCTAGATGCGGTCACTGCCTCCAGCCCTCCTCTGCCCCAACCCCATCTCCTGCATGTCCTCCTGATCCCACGACGTGGGGACCTCTCCACAGAGCGTCCCTTGGTGCCTTTGTCTGGTCCACAGAGAGCAGGATCATACTAACTAGAACGTACAGAACTTTTGGGAGAAGGTCTCCGTGAAGGAAGAAGCTTTAGGAGAATGGCAGTCCTGTTCTCTGGGTTGCTCTGCCCTTTCCTCTATGCAAGGGGTGCTACTCCTTGGATGGTGGGGAGACCTTGAAACAGGGTGAGGGCATGGGTGCGGCCAGCTGGACCTGGGACATCAGGGTCTGCAGGGCCTGCGTGCGGTCTTCTCCCCTCTTGGGTTTCAGTGGAGCCAGGTTCCCACCATCAGTGGGCTCCAGCAGTGCTTGCCCTACTGTGACTTCTCACAATGACATTCCCCTTCTCTGTCTCCGTCTCTCTGTCTCTCTTTTTTTTTCCATAGAATTCTTCGGAAATTCCACTATCTGCTCAACCCCAAACAAGTTTTCAACCTGGACAATGGGGGGCCTACTCCAGGGTATGGAGATACAATCTTTACTTCCTATTTCTCCCCCTCACCCTTCAGTCTCTAAAGAAGATACCATTTTGGGGGTTGCCTTTTTTGTCTCCTTCGTCTGTGGATTTATCCTTCCTACCGTTTTACTCCTTTTCTCTTCTTTTCCTCATATCTACCCTATGTCTTCCTGGAGATACTCAGGAATACTCATATGGCTGACTCTGGGAAGTAGCCTCCTGCCCTTTATCCCAGAAAAAGCTGTTGATTTTGCAGGAGGGAAAAAATTGTATATGCCATTTCATCATTGGATTGCCAGGAAGGGCAGGCTGGTAAATTATTTTAACTCACTTGCAAGGCTGCGTTAGCTGGTTCTTCATACTGAATCATCAGGAAGAAGGATAGGGTCTTCTTATCACTGTCAGTCAGTGGTTCAGAAATCTATACCGCTGATTCCAAGTCCTGCTGCGTGCTCTGTTGTGGGGCATTTTAGGACCAAGACAAGTGGTGGTTCAATGAAATCACTTTTTTTCTGGATCATCCAATTTAAAGGTTGTTAAGCTCTCCCCTGGCCCTTCTCCTCCTGTCATTTGCCTTTTGGCTGTTTCCCTGCTCTTTGGCAAAGTGCTGAGGAGAGGGACAGCAATAAGGGGAGACTAGGCAGCCCTTTTGCAGCCTGACCCAAGGCCTATGGGAGGATCTGGTCCTCGTGCTGGTGGCTAACATGATGCGCTGTGGGGCCCTGTAATCAGAGGCCCCTCCAGCATTGGGGCTGGAAGGTACCCAAAGACAGGGCTTCTTATGAGATAGAGCCAGTGCACTCGGGACCTCTGCCCGCCAGCCCGAGGCTATTCTCAGATCTGTGCCTGCTGGGCTGGGCTTTCTAACACACAGCTGATTTGCCCAACCTTCCAACCCTCATTTCTACTCTGGGTTCAGCAACACCTTCAGAGGGGCTGGAGTAAGGAGTGTTAAAAGGAACTCTGTCCCTGTCTTCGATTGTTTGACACAAAGCTATTGTCTATGGCAGTGGTAGGACAAGACCCACTAAAGGAGAAAGAAACATGAGTGCAGATGCAGCCGTGACTCGCCTATAAAACTAATTTCGAAATAGAGCCCACCTGTACTGCTGCGCGCCCCATCACGGTCACCGTGACTGCCAGTTACTGCTCCGTTATGACTTGTGACCGAGCAGCACCCCACAGATACCTTTACCAGCCCGCTCTCTTCTCGGGCACTTCAATACTTGAATACAGTCCTTCAGCTTAGCTGCATTATCCAAAATTGGTTTTGCCCTGGATGACAAGCCTGGTGGCTACTTCTCAGGCTGCTGTGCCCTGAGTATCTCTGCTGTACGTGTCAGTGTGTGATCAGACAGGCTGTCTAGCTGAAGGGAGCCTCCATTCCGAAACCACTTCCTATAGGAGAGCAGAGTTCTCAAGAGAAGGGGAGGAGAGGGAAGGTTCGTTTGCCCAGGCGTGCATCTGTGACTTAGAAGGCCCCCGGGGTCTTCTCAGACCACCATGCAGGACAACGAGGAAATACAGAGCTTCGGCTTCTCCAACCCCACCCCCAGGCCTCTACAGGTTACATCTGTACTAAAGCAGAGGTGCTTAACCTCTTTTGTGCCAGAAACCCATTTGGCAGTCTGATGTAGCCTACAGACCCTTCAGACCCTTTCTTAATAAATTAAGATAATACTTTTTTAAAGTATAAAACCAAATATATAGGATGACCAGGGAAACTAATATTGAAAAAGCAGTTATCAAAAGGTTAAGAAACAAAGTTTTGCCATGAGGATATATGTGATTTACTGAGATATTATATAGCAAGTTCCAGAGGCAGATCTAATACCTATGGTAAATTAAAAGCAGTGATGAGCACAAGTGATGACAGAAACTATCCACCACAGCCGTAGTAAGACAGTAAAACACCTGTGATTTCGGCTGCTTAACCAAGTCACAGGTATCGTTAATATCCCGTGATTTGCATCTTACAGTCATAGTGGAAGGAAACCCTAAATTTCAGTTAGAGCTGAAGGGAGATAAGAGGGTAATATGGCCCTCTGGATTCTATCCACAGACCCCCTGGAGGTTCATGCAGCCAGTTAAGGGCTCTGCTCTAAAAGGTTAAGGGCTTGGGGGGAGATGGTCCTTGCTCCACTTGGGTCCAAGTTCTAGACCCACAGGAGAGTGGCATGAAGACCCAGCTAGTTCAGTGTATCTGACTTAAAGGGAGGTCGTGCAGACAGAACAGGTGAGGGAGCCAGAGAGAAGTCAAAATGTTGGGGGTTAGCCAAAATAAGCAAACTCTAGATTTCTTTTCATAAATAATAGAGAATTTCTAGAATACCATTTTCTTCTTTTTTTTAATGGAGGTACTAGGCATTGAACCCAGGACCTTGTGCATGCTAAGCACTGCACTCTACCACTGAGCTATTTCCCTCCCCACAAAAACTATTTTTTTGTTGAATGTTGAGTCAGAGTCTGCTTGAACAGAGATGGCTCCCTGGGATTCATGGTCAATGGCATTGCTTAGTAAGTTCTGGCTTTAGAACCTTAAGTGACCCTTTCAACTCCGAAAGGCATCAAGGTCACAACGTACTCCCAGGGAAGTGAGCAGTGGGGTAGGGGGGGATTCTGACTCAAGGCATGTCAAAGGTCAGCCTGTAAACAGAACCATTTTGGCCTCTTTACTTCCCAGACTGAACTTTTTCCGTGATACTCCAGACTTCCGTGTTTTGGCCTGCGGAGGAGATGGGACAGTTGGCTGGATTTTGGATTGCATTGGTAAGAATGGGCTGGGAGGGCCTTTGCAGCTGACTTATAGTAAGTACATTAAAAGTCAAGAAAGCACTAAAGAAGAAAGAGAAATGGAGCCATGTCTTGCTCATCTTTGTTTCCACTCTTGGATCAATGCTTGACGAAGTATCTACTTTGGGTGGAGAAAAGAAAGGAAGAAGACAATGGAGGGGTTCCCACAGGTACAGATATAACAATTTAGTTCCAGCCTTGCCTCACAGTTATCTGCCATGGCTGGGGTTTGGGCAGTCGCAAGACAGGCCAGATGAGAAGTTGGGTGGAGAGGGATCAGGACTGAGACTCCAGGCAGGTCAAGGGTGCTGGATAAAGGCCAGAGAACTAAACGTAGATGCACAGCCCAGGGCAAGTCACCTTGAGATAAACACCTGGAGCCGGAGCCCAGAAAATGCACGTAGAAAGCACAGATCAGTGAAAGCAAAGAAAAGCTATGGTGGACTGTGTCCAGCATACCTAAATCAAAAAAAGGGTGATGGGGAAGGCCCAGGCTGGGAGTCTGGAGGCCTGGGGTCTAGTCCAGCTCTGGCTAGATCTGTGAATCCTTGGACACATCACCCCCAGTAAATAATGGAGAGTGACTCTCAAATTCTGAGACATGGGGTATATTCAAGGTCTAACCCTGGAGAACCCACATAAACACCAGGACATGGGTACATAAGCGCAGGAAAACAGCCAAGGGGACTGCTGGGGAGGGTCATCACCAAAGTCCCCAGAGCAACGAGCCCTGGGCTGCCTCGGTTTTTTTCGTCCTTTGCTCCACATATCCTGCCAGTGCACTTCCAGGTGCCAAGTTCTGGCAATGCAGCAGTGAACAAAAGGACAAATCTCCCTCAGGGAGCCTCCTTTCTAGAGGGAAGAGACAGGCAGTAAACAAATAAATAAGTGAAACATACAGTATGTCAGAAGGTGTTAAAAATATAGCAGTAAAGGGGCAAGGGGCGCTCAGCGGTGGGAGTGGGAGGTCCGGAAGGCCTTGAGGAGCAGCTGACCTTTGCATGGAGACCTGGAGGAGGGTGAGCCTTGCGGGTACCTGAGGGAAGAGCAGTTCAGGCAGAAGGAATGGCAAATACAAAGGCCCTGAGGTAGGAGCAGGCCTGGCTGCCGAGGGCTGCAGGAAGGCTTCCGGGCAGTGCGGGGTGGAGTGTGTGAGGGGAGAGGATGAAGGGATGAAGCAGAGATGATGCAGGGCCCAGTCACTAGGACATGTAGGACATTATACGGAATGTGGCTCTCATGCTGGGAATGTCCCAAGATGCTGGATGGTGTTGAGCAAAGCAGAGAGGCAACAGATGCCAGAAACAGAAAAGGGCAGAAGCAGGGAGACTAGTTAGGAGGTGCCTGCGGGAATCCAGGGGAGAGGGGACCAGGGTGTGGACCATGGTAGAAACAGGAAGTGGTAAGGAGTCAGGTCGGGGTATCTTTTGAAGGCAGACCCAGCAGGATTTGCTGACAGACTGGGTGTGGGAGACGAGGGGAGGAGGGGAGTCAAGGATGGGCCAGAAGAGACCCTGATCTGGGCGGAGAAGGCTGGGTCCCCAGGGATCGCAAGCAGACCACCTGGAGGGGTGGGGCCAGCACCACGCACACCTGCCACATCTGCTCCCCCACAGGCACTTTGGTTTCCATGGACACAGCCCTGCCAAGCAGCCACCCACGCTCTCCTGTCACCTCGGGCTCTGGAGTTGTTTGTGGGAGGAGGGAGGCGTCCTCTGGGAGCCAGGGAAGGAAGAGCTGATCAGCAGAGGTTGGGTGGCTACCGTACCAGGAGCTCCCTCTCCGTCCCAATGGAGAAAGTAGGCTGTGCTGACAAGTTGTATAAAATCTACCTGCAGAGAACACAGGTGATAGAAGCTACCAGGAACAGAAAGGTCATGTGAAAGGAGCTGATTTTTCATGGGTTGGTGACCCAAGGAGAAAAAATTAGAGGGGTAAAAGGAGTAACTGCACCATGTTCATTCATTCATTCTTTCAAGAGAGATTAAAGCCCTTGTTCCGTGCTCTCCAGCACCCCTTTTGGTCCCCTCTGATCTGTTCTGCAACAGCCAGAGTGGTCATTCCTGAGTGCCAGTGGGGCCATGATATGTAAGGCACATCAGTGGCTTCCCAGGAGTCTGAGATAAAAAGAAAACCCTTCAGATGCGCTACAGGGCCTGGAGTGATCTAGCAGCTGCCCCCAATTCCAGCCTCATTTCGTACCCCCATTTCTCTCTCTCTAAACCCAGACACCCAGTCCCTCTCTCAGACCCTCAAAGCCACCAGTCTCCCTTCCACCACAGGATCTTTGCACAAGTTGCTCCTCCTGTCTGGTCTGCTCTGCTGGCCTTTGCTTGGTCAGCTTCTGCTTCAGATCTCAGCCAAAGTGAGGCTTCCTCAGGGGGAGCCCTCCCTGACACCTCATTACAGGACCACACTCATTTCCAGTATGAATTTGAAATTATGCGTCACTTAAATGAAGACCTTGTTAATATCAGTCTCTCTGTCTCTCAAGTGTTAGCTCCCATGAGAGCCTGAGACATAGCTTTTTACCTGCTCTTAGAGGCAGAGCATCTAACACAGCACTTAGGCCTTCAATAAATACGTGTAGAGATACCACAGTGAATGAGATTCCCCAGGGAGGTTACGGTACATTTGGGGAACAAATAGTCAATTGCAAGAGAGTGTGATGAGCTCATGAGATCATCCTTGGTGCTAAGGAAACACTCTGGAGAAGCACCAGGTCCAGACTAGGGCAACCAGGGAGGGCGTCTGCTCTGAGCAACAGAAAGCTTGTGATTTAAAGCACCGAAAGCACTTCAGCGTGGTTGACATGTTGAGTGGGAGGCAGGATGTGAGAAGGATAAGGCTAGAGAGAAAGGCAGAGCCAGGAAGAGCCTCACTGCCATGCTAAGGGGTGATGGGAGCCCTGGCAGAAGGGAACACAGTGGACTAGTGTGATCAGGCTTGTGATTCAAGGATGCCTGCCTTGGTGGAAGTGTGGGGAACACACTAGGGCATGGACCTGGAGACCAAGAGGGCAGAGAGGAGGCAGTTATAGCAGTACCGGGGGAGGAATCATATACCAGAATCCAGGATCACCATAGATGGAGAGAAGAGATGGCTTGGAGATCTATTTAGGAAACAACTTACAGAAATTGATATGTGAATGGATGTGGGGTGAAGGAGAGGAAAAACCCAGGGTGACATCCAGGTCTCTAGCCTCAACACTGTGAGGATGGTTGACTTGCTGGGATGGGGAGCTCAGAAGGAGGAGCAGACCTAAGCAAACAAGGGCCTTCCAGGCAAAGGGAAGAGCCCGTGCAAAGGCAGGGGGGCACAAACGCAGACTGCATGTTCTGGGAACAGTGAGAGAGTCCATTGCTTTACTCCATCCTCCATCTCAGCCGTCCCAGTGATGATCTCAGCCCTGCGTCTCTCCTGAGCTCAGCCATTTCTAGCATGAGTCTGACAACCTGGGGGACCTATGAACTCTCGTTTTGCTGGGGCTGCCCTAGCATGAGCCTCATGCAGGAGGCTAATTCTTGCATTGCCCCTGTCCCCCACTCAACCCCTACCCCTGCTCCCCAATCACATCACTCACATCCCAGCACCAGGTGCACTGAGATTTGTGTAAGTGGTGTCCCCTGGAGCCCTGTGAGTATCTGGCCTCCTTCAGCTTCCCCAGCTCAGCCACTGTGCTGCTGTAGATCTGCAGCCAGATTAAAACATACATGTTTCTCTAATGGTTTGGTCTGATGCTCCTTCACAGCCATCATGAGACAGGATTAAGAATCTGTGTATTTGCAAGTCTGGGAGGTGGTGAAAGTGGCAAACTGGTACCTGGGGGCCAAGTAACACCTGGAGGCTTTGCTTGTTAGACACATTGTTATTTTTAAGTTTTTGACCCTGAATGACTAGAAGTGAGGCATCTTCAGTTTTCCAAGTGCCCCACCCATCTTCTGATGTCTCAGACGCACCTGTTTCACTATTTATGCACCTGCCTAGCCTCTGGAAAAAAGGAAGAATACAGACTTGGAGCCTCAGAGATCTGGGTTTGGATCCTGGCTCTGAAATTACTTTCCCTCTGTGAACCTCCGTTTCTTCATCCATGAGAATGATAATACCTTGCAGGGTCTGTCTGAGGAATAAATGGGGTAAATGCTGGTTATCGTTAAGGATTAAAACTGTGCAAACTAATGTTTTTGCGGTGTCTGCTGTCACCCCTAAGGAAAGAATTAGGATGAAATGAGGATGAACAGGTGCAAGTTGCAGGGAGACAGACTTAGCTCAATGTGAAAAAATCCTTTGCAGCGGTTAACACATTGCAGAAGGAAGAGATGGCTTTACGAAGTAGTGAGTTCCCCATCGGGAGAGATATTCAAACAAAGAAAGCTATGGAGGGCTTCAAGCATTAGATCAGAGGTAACTAGACAACTCGGACATTCTGTAATCCCATGGCATATGGCTCTCTCTTCCTCTTCATGGATTGCAGATAAGGCCAGGTTTGCAAAGCATCCACCCGTGGCCGTCCTGCCTCTTGGAACAGGAAATGACCTGGCCCGCTGTCTCCGCTGGGGAGGAGGTGAGTCTGCGTGGGAGGAGGGTCTGAGGACAAGCGCTCCAATCTACTGGGGCTCTACAGAGCTAGGATGAACTTCCCTTTAGGGATCACGTTTCACCTAGTAATACTCAACTCCGGGGTCCTGTCTGCTCCGTGCCTTTTCCCTGCCCTTGTTTCCAGGCCAAGGCCTGTGTTTACCCCTCACTAGACTTACTATCATCCCCAAACTCTCAGCTCAGAGCCTGCCTCCCCCAGTAGAACAAGTCAACTTTAGGGTAGAATCTCCTTTGTCTCCTCCCCAGTGTTCATCCCAGTAGGGGGCTCACTTAGACAAGGGCTTTCTGCATGTAATTCCCCCTCTCCAAATTACTGATCTTTTTCTGAAGTAGGACTCAGAATGCCGACAGAAAAGCCGCATCACCAGCTACCAGGGACATCCAGATCATCCTCGGCCCCTGTGGCCGGGGGCCCTCATTGTGAAATTCCCCAAAGAGGGAACTCAGAGTGGTAACCAGCTTACAGGGCAATGGGCAGGAGCTAAGGAGAACTCTGCAAACTACCACAGCCTCCTGGAGCTGGGCATGTCCTAGAGAGTGGAGGAGTTCAGCTCAGCCGGCAGAGAGGGCAGACCAGTCTGGCAGGCGGAACTGGAGTGAGACTCCGGATGGCTGATCAATTCCCAGAATGACTCAAGACCAGGCCGGCCGTGGTCAGTGCGATGCTCGGAGGACAGGGGCAGGGCAGGCAGGAGCCAGCCCTGGAAGGAAGTCGGCAGGCACGGGAAGAGTTGCCAGGGTCCCCAGCCTCATGCTAGGCTAGGGAAGAACCCTCTGTTCAAGAGGGTCAGGCAGGGTGTGGCCCCATCCTCTGGGCATCCAGGCCACATAGCGAGGCACAAATTTCACACAACCCTGTGTTCCCTGATAGCAGTGAGGCCCTCAGCTACCTGGTTGCTAATATTGCTATCTTGTGAGGCATCCCTGAAGGAGCTGACCAGAGCCCTGACAATTTGAAAATACTCTTCAAGATTGCCCCAAACATAAGCAGGAACATGGACGTGTTTTTTGAAAGAAGAGATTCTCTCTCTCGTTAACTTCTCATCACTTAACAGTTCACTTGCTACATTGGTTTTCTATTGCTATTATATAATACTGACAAATGATTATAAGCAAAAAGGCTTAAAATATCCATTTATCCGCTCACAGTCCTGTAGCTCAGAAGGGTCTTCTGCTCAGGGCCTCACAGGGTAGAATCCGGGCATTGAACAGGTTGAGCTCCTGTCTGAAGACTCTGTGGGAGAATTTGCTTCTCAACTCATTCGGTTGTTGGCGGAATTCAGTTCTTTTCAGTTGTAGAGCTGAGGTCCCTGTCCCCTTGCTGGTGGTCAGCCAGGACCACACCCAGATCCTAGAGGCCTCCTACATTCCTCACCCAACGGAGCCCTCTATCTTCAAAGTTGGCAACAGAGAAGCTCCCTTACTTCAAATCCTTCTCAAGTTTCAAATCTATTTCTTAAGGAAAAGTCCAGTCTTTCTAAGGACTCACCTGATTAGGTCAGATCCACTCAGGATAATCTCACTGTCTTGAAGTCAGCTCTGCATATAGCTAATCCTGACAGTGACCATCCCATCTTACCACAGGTCCTGGGGCTTTTGCTGGGTATATACACCAGAAGGGCAAGAAACATGGGGACCATCTTAAACTTCCGCCTCCCACGCTGTCAGTCTCTGTCACGACACAGTCCTGGCGCAGATCCTCTGTTCTCCCACGTGCAGCTACCCGACTGTCCAGCCCACCGATGCCCCAGGGCTTGCTTCAGCCACACAGGCCTGCCCATCTCTGGCCAGCACCCCGCCGTACCCCAGCTACTCTGGTTCCAGAGTGCCCCAGCTTCCTTCTAATCACTCCATATTGCCGTCTCCTTCTCCAGAGCTCAGAAAACCTCCCTGTCTCTGGCCCACAGACACACTGGGGAGACCCCAGCACCCTCAGGGTTCCCCACCCTGACCGCTGCCTTGCAGCAGCAACAGCAGCACTGAGGGCGAATACAATGCTGTGCTCCACAGGTTACGAAGGGGGCAGCCTGACCAAAATCCTGAAGGACATCGAGCAGAGCCCCTTGGTGATGCTGGACCGCTGGCACCTGGAAGTCATCCCCAGAGAGGAAGTGGAGAATGGGGACCAGGTCCCGTATAGCATCATGAACAACTACTTCTCCATCGGTGTGGTAAGTTGGCCAAGGATCGCTTTTCTTCCTAGAAGAGAAGTGCCCGGGCAGACAGAAAGGGTTCTAGTCTTCCACTGTCCCCTCTGGGTCCCTGCTCTTTACCTGTCCCAGCTGCCCCCAGCCTTGACTTGGGTCCACGCGTCCTGGCATCTGGCCTGGGCATGGACATCCTCATTGCACCAAGCCCCATCCTTGACTATAAGGGAGATTTCTGCCTCTATCATATCCCCACCATCCACCTGCTAGGGATGAGGCCTCAGGACCCTTGACAAGGAAAGGGTAGAACTTGCACCCACTCTGAAGCCAGGCTCCTTACTCTCTGCTTCCCTGTCTTGGGAATTAGGCTGCCCAGTTTCATATGCATACGAGTCCTTCCAGACTAAGACTCTGTGATCGTCTCAATCACTGTCATCTGTGCCTCTTTTGCAAATTTTGGTTGTTTAAAAAAAAAGAAAAGGAGAAATGATAGGTGGCTTGAGGAAAGTGCAGGTTTAAGGGAAGGGTTCTGTTTTTCAGTAAGACTAAAAGGAGAACCATGAAAGAGAAAAGAGTAATAATATTAACACTTTATATTTACAGGATTTAAAATTTACCATATTTACCGATATTTTCTTAATTCTTATGATTACACTGGAGGGCAGTATTACCTCCATTTTATAAGTGAGGATCAGACAAAGGGATTTGCCTTCGTTTTCTGACTCCCAAGCCAGCACTCTTTCTATTATTAAAACAGGAGAGAGAGACCTATGATCAGGTTCAGAGAGGATGGAGCCATCAGACTAGAAACATATTCAGGGGTCTCTGTGTCCTGGTTTGTCTTATCTCTCCAGCTCCCCTGCTCTCAGTTGGGGGAGGCGTCTTTCCTGAAGATCTTCAAGCTCATCCCCCTGTGACGTAGGCAGACCCCTCCTCCTTTTCTTGACTCAAAAGCCCCTCTTCTTTTGGACCACCTGCTCAGGCTCCCCTTCACATGATAGGAACACACAGTCATCAGCTCCTGCAAATCAGACCTGACTGGCAGGTCTGGTGCCGGGCTTCTGGAGCACACGCTTCCCAGCATTACAGTTTGACAAAAACTCATGTTCTTTTTTTCTATAGTAACCAGAGTATACTTGCTTACATGTATCGAGTACCTAATGCACACCAGGCAGAGTGTCCTTATTAGTAGGTTTAGCCATTGCTCTTTTACATTTTGTAAGAAGGAACAGTAGCTTAAAAAGATAGAGTCAAGTCCAAGCTGATGAGTGGGAGAGAAGGAAATCACTAGTGTCGAGCTCCAGAGCCCACCTGGCTGTGGACCGTGAGCCATGCAGCCTCTGCCCAGCCCCTGCAGCTTCATGCAGCAGCACGGGGGGTGGGGGGACTCAAAATGTAGGGTGTGATGGCTCACTTATACCTCACCCATACCCTTGGTCAGAAATACAGATTCCACCCCCACGACAGATCCTGATTCATACTCTGATTCAGTTGGTCTGGGAAGGGTCTGGGAATTTGCATTTTTTTAAACATTTTTTATTAAGTTATAGTCATTTTTCAATGTTGTGTCAAATTCCAGTGTAGAGCACAATTTTTCAGTTGTACATGAACATACATATATTCATTGTCACATTTGTTTTCACTGTGAGCTACCACAAGATCTTGTATGTATTTCCCTGTGCTATACAGTATAATCTTGTTTATCTATTCTACATATGCCTGTCAGCATCTACAAATTTTGAACTCCCCGTCTGTCCCTGGGAATTTGCATTTTTAACAAGCCTCTGAGGTAATTCTGATGTAGATGGTTCCTATCAAGTCCTCGGTGGGTGAAGACAAGCCATTAGAGCAGAGAAGGATGGTCAAAGAAGTGGTTCTTCACAGGAGCAGAAGCCAGATCCGAAGGAGGGGGAACCAGCACCTGTCAGCAATGAGCCAGAAATGAGAGCTGAGCTGCAGGACAGGGTGACCTGCCTGGGAGTTTATAGATGGCAGGTTACATCCACAGCTGCCTTCAGAGTCCTCAGCCCCAAGTCTTCTCTTTCTTAACACGCCCAGCTCTAGCTGCCAGAACTGACAGGATTCCTAAAGCCTCCCTGTCCATCTCTACACAGCGCCATATGCAAAAAAATGATACTCACTTAGTATCTGCTGACCAAATGGATGAAATGGCTAAAAAGGAATAGATGACCTCCCCTCAACTAGGTAACCAAACCCTAATCCCAAGAAGCAAGACTGAGCTTGGTTTTAATTCCCTGTTATAAATAAGAAGGAAGTGTTTGGGAGAAGGGAGTGAGGGGTGAAAGAAGGAAGGAGGGAGGGAGGGAAGGCACGAAAGGAGGAAAGAATACCAACTAATTGCCCCCCAGGGAAATGCATGCGAACAGATTCTCCATTTCCCTCGGTGGTCAAGGTATTTATTTGCCCTGGGCTGACCTATAATCATCCAATCCATTCGTCATCCAGATTATGAAGAACTGCACAATATCTTCCTCACTATTTTTTTCATACACCTGTAGCTTGTGCATGTTTAACATTTTATTGCCAAGCAGTGAAGAACCAGGTCTGCTTTGATCTCACTGCTGTACCCTTAGCCGTCTCCCAGCAAAATGTTTGCAGGGATTGTGTGCTCACTATTTAAAAGTTGGAAAGGGAAATTCTTGAGAAAACAAGTAGCCAACCTGTAACCCTAAGAGAATCTGGGGCTGACATTTGCAGAAGCTCTTGCTCCCTATTTGACTTCCCAAACTTTGTAAGAGGAGAAGTAATATGTAAACCAACCCACAGTTTTACTTCCTTAAGATGATTAGAGCCGGACTCCTTTGGCAAAGAGAGCCCTGCAAAGTCTTTGCCTCTTTTGAAGGACCTAGAATATCTTATTGGTATCAGATGTCTGCTGCCTGCATTTATAAAGGTGGTGACAATGACCGCTGCTGTGGAGCCCCTAGGTGGTAAAGAATTCTCCCTGGTGAGTTCACTCGCTCCCCTGGGCGCCAACTGAACCCATTTAACAGATGGAGGGATAAACAGGGCAGACTCTCCTGGCCTATGAAGGGAGTGACAAGGGCCTCGCTGTCAGCAGATTCCCATCACCCGCAGACATGCCAGCACCCCACCAGCGAAGAGTTGAGACGGCTGGCCTTCTCAGTCCCTCTAACTGATGACATCCATTGGCAGGAGATTTTAAACACAGTCATTCAGGATGCTACTTCCTGACTTCTCTGGCCTCCCCATCCCTGCTCTTTATTTTTGGATTTGCAGAAATGTCAGGATGGCCAGGTATCAGTGACAGGAAGCTGGGGACTGCACAGTAATTCCTGGGATGTGTGTAATTCTGAGCGCCCCACAGGCTCTGCTTTCACTGAGTCTTAACAGGACGAGTGAACAGCTAATCCTTTGAGTCAATGAAATCTATTTCTGATGCTGAGGGAACCCAGGGGCCAAGGAGAGGCCACAGTCATCACACTGACCCACACAACATTTTCCACCTGACAGGCTGTACTTGTTAGACTTCACTGGTAAACCCGTTAGGTAATTTGTCAGAAAGTCGTCATTTTAAATTGCAACCTTTTAAATTCCCTCAGTCTCAGGTTCTTGTCTGTCACCTATGAGAGCCAGGAGGGTTCTAGAACCATGGGACTCCCTGAGAGGGGTCTGGGACAAGAGGTCTACACTCTTCTTCATTCCCCAATCTGCCGTAATTTTTCAGAATAATCCACATTCCAAATAATGTCTTATTGTCTCCTTTCTGGTTTTTTTAAATCTCTGTAAGTTGCCAAACTGACTAGACTATTGGACTAGACTGTCCAGTATGGTAGCCATGAGCCACTTGTGGCTACTGTGCACTGGACAAGGGGCTGGTCTAAGCCAAGAGACGCTGTAAGTGTAAAATACGCAGCAAATTTCACAGTATATTGAAATATATTATTAAAATTAATTCCATCTGTTTCTTTTCACTTTTTAGATGTGGCTACTAAAATTTTTTTTAATTTACTCCTATTGGATAGTACTGGCCTAGACATCTAAATACCTCAGAGTCCAAATGACTACTGCTTCTATTTGGAAAGGGCACAAAAATCTTTTGTCCAACTCTATACTTGGAGTTTTGGTTCAGGAGAGAGCAGACGTGTGTCCGTACTGCTTTCATCTTCTTCTCACCCCATGCCTCATAGAAAGGAGCTGGGAGAGTGAGGCCGTCAGAAAGACCATCATCACCTCCGGGGTTTGCAGTTCCCCCCACCCCCCACCTTCTGAACAGAAGTCTCATTTTGTTGTAATTATTACAAGAAAGGGTGGGAACCATTATAGCAGCACTGATTTCTAAATGAAATCCCTACTGAGTGTAAGTACAGCTCAGTGCCTGACAGAGAGAAGCCCAACAGAGGGTGAAGGTGAATCTTGACTCTCTTTTCAATCCCCAGGCAGGGAAATACCATCAGAGTCTGTATCATCATTGCCTTTTCAGAACTGAATGGCAAAGGACCCTACCACTTTGTGTATTTACCACGGGATGACATGGTCAAATTAGGAACCACATGCTTAACTAATAATATTGTAAAGGCTGGTCTTTGTGAAAAGAAGCTTTGCAAAACCCAGTTAGGAAGAAAAAAACAAGGATAATTGGAACTACACAGGGGGAAGGGGCCTGTGCACATATCCCAGGGAACTAAAGAACTGGGAGCCAGTCACAGCAGCACTGGGGGTGGGGGACAGTGAAGCACAAACCGTGCCAGGCAGCATGTGGTTGCTTTTTTCTTTTCTTTCATCTTCTTTTTTTTTTTTTCTGACAGAAGAAAATTAGTGCTTCAAAAGAACACAAGTAGATGGAATGTTTTCTTGAATTCTAGAGCAAGAAGCATTTGACAGATGTCACATGAATCTTACTCAGAGTGTTCATGAAACTTGCTCAGAAAGAGGGAGGTGGGCAGAGTCTGGGAGCATGAAGGCTCCTTCCTGGAGAAGCTGGGCTGGCTGGGCAGACCGAGGGGACACAGGCCCCCCGGGGCTTTGCATATCTCCCACCGCTGTCCACATGGCTGCCTAAACTTCAACCCAAGATGTGTCTTAAACAAAAAACTAACAAATCAATAACTAGAGCTTAAATGTTAAATTCCCAAGACATTATTTCAGCAAAGATGTTTGCCAACCATAAAATAAGCCCATATCCTTGACTTGCCCTGTCTTTCAGTAGGGGGCTGCTAGCTGGGTTTGCTCCTCTGCCAAGTGCAAATATTACAAAAGCTCCTCGTTGCCCCCTAACTTGCTTCTGGATTTTCTGTCCCCACCATTAACTAGTATTTTACTCACCACACCCAGCACATGCTCAAAAAAAAGCAAAGCTTCTTCACTGAACTACACCTCCTGATGTTAAAAACAAAATTCAGAAATTTTCTCTTGCAGAATTTCCATTTCAAGAAAAGAAATTATTAATATGCACTAGCTCAAAATTCACCGTATGGAATTAGAGTTTTCTTTTAGCTACACATTCCAGTAAATGAGTTTCTGTATCTTTTTTTCCCTGCACAAATCTGAATCAGCTCCCTTGTTTCTGTTGCTCCTCCCCCTACCCCAGCTCAATTAGCCTGTTTATTTCTAAAATCCACCACCTGCACCCGACTGGCTGGCAGGAGGCCTGAGCAGTGAAGGGTTGTTACACATTCTTCTGCTAGAAAAGGAGACCATTAACAAGGGCAGAAGACCAAGCTGGAGGAGGAAAGATGTGTTCAGTTTTAGGTCTGAAATTCAGGGTTGGTTCTAGAGATATACACTGTGGAGATGTGGGCATCTAGAGGCTAGTCAACTCTGAGAACTTGAGATGGCCCATGGCATGCAGTGTAGGCTGCGGGATGCACTCAGAACTAAGAAGGTGTGGTCCAAGGATGGAACGCCCGGAAGCACGGGGTCCTGAGAGCCATCCTCACTTTGAGTTCCAAGAGCAGGTGGCCAAAGTGTAGCAAAGGAACGTGCTAACAGGAGGACAGCAAAGTGTCCACACAATGTGGTAATGAGACTCTCAATGACCTTGGGGAGTCATTTTCCTAGAATGATCAAGAGGCAGAAGCCGGAAGTTTAAATAAACATTTTAAATTATCTGGCTAAGCATGTCATCCAGTGCTACCAATTAGACCTACTGATATGGATGATTAAGAGTTAATATGTAAAAGCATCTACCAACATGGGTTTTCTGGTTTTGACAGTGTACTCTAGTTATGTAAGATGTTATCACTGGGTGAAAGGGACAGAGGAACTCTCTGTACTATTTTTGCAACTTCTTATGAGTCTTAAAATATTCCCGAAGACAAAGTATTTCTTTTAAGAGTGAATAGGGCCAGGCATTTCCAAAGACTCACACTCGGCCCCACAGGGGCTTCAGCGTTCTCACCTCCCTCAGACCCAGACAGGCTCCCTCTCCCCAAAGGGCAGCAGGGACCCCTTCACTTACCCCAAACTAAGGCGAGTAGAGAGCAAATATTGCGAGGAGTCAAGTGGTAAAGGCTCTAGGAGCATTGGTGGCAGTCGCCCCTAATGCTGGGCCTGGTGTCCAGCCTCTGCAGGGGGCCTCCCGGTTTTCCCCTGTGAGATTTGGGGTATTTCAGTGACAATGTGTGCTCCCTTCCTTCCTTCCACGTCGCTCAGGGTCAGGACCACTTACCAGGGATCTGCTTTCTGTCTTTCCTTTTCAGGATGCTTCCATTGCACACAGGTTCCATATGATGCGAGAGAAACACCCTGAAAAATTCAACAGCAGGTAAGAGGGCCCTGCGGCTGTACCCCCGCTGCCCTGCCCCCCTGCCCCGCCCACGCGGCCCGCAGGTCGGGGGCCTCCACCTGCTCTCACCCAAGCGTTCTTGGCCCAGCTGCCCAGTGCTTTACTGCCACGTTGCCGGAAGGAGGGTTTCCATTTTCAAGAAGAAAACAATGTCAGAAACCTGCCGCATTCTGGCCGCCGGTCCTCTCCCAGAGGATGTTGTGCAGAGGGAGGATCTGGGATTAGGGGACCAGAAGGGCTGGCATGATGTGCCCGCCTTGGGGAGTGGGGGAGTATGCTCTTCGATAAATAGACCCCCCTCCTCCTGGGGCGCAGCGCTTTCTCAAAACGTACAGCTGCCCCACCCCAACCTGTGATTCTTCAGGAAAGGAGCAGGAAGGGGGCAGGGACCTCAGCTTCCCTCCGGCTCAAAGGGGAGGGGGCGGCCGCTCCCGGCCAGGCTGAGAGGAAGGTGCCTCCGCCTCCCCTGCCAGCAGAGGGCAGCAGAGGGAGGCCCCACAGAGGCGGCCCGGAGCCCACCAGAGCCCGGCCTCAGCCTGCGCGCTCTCTGAAATCTGGATGTTAGGTCCAGAAACGAAAGGGAAGAGAGAATCAGCTCTTTTGCAGACCAAGTCAGGCCCTTCTGCCGATGAGTGGCATAGAGCTAACCCATGGAGTTGTTAAATTACATTTCTCGGTGGTTAATTTGCATCCTTTTTCCTCTTTGTTATACCATCTCAAATGACCGTGGATCCCAGCCCACCCTCAGGCAGGTGGGAAGAGCGGGTATTAATTTGGGTTAAGGTTGAGCCTATGGGACTTGGCTTTATTTAGCCCACAGAGCAGAAGCCCAGTGTTAACTGCCCACATTCATTTAAGGCCGGGCACGCCCATAGACCGCCATCATTTTCATTCCTCCTCCTTACCTCCCCCGCCCTCGCCTGCCTGGAAGGTTAACCGAGAATAAGAAAGTGTTTAGGGCTCAGAAACGGAACAAAATGAAGCTACTTAGACTTCAAGAAAAGTGATCTGTGGGATCTAATAGTAGCTGCGCTAACCTTTTTAATATGTCCTTTCTCACACACACACCAAGCCGACTCATAAGACACTGTTAACTTGTATACTTTCAGCCCCTACTGCTAAAGCCACAGACTTACAAATCAATGGATGCTCTTCTTGCAATCTTTTTCACTGTAATGTATACACAAAAAATCACTTTTAAAAAAGTACTCTTTCTCTTCCCTCCAGTCCAGACTTTTAATGCTATCTTTTCACACGGGACCCTTCTGCATACTCCTGTACACATGGTTGTTAAGATGCCAAATGTTTGTGAAATCCATGGAGGGGTTCGTTCATTCATTCATTCATTCATTCAATGAATGTATCTTTGGAAAACAGTGCCAGGCTCTGGTCTGTTGTGTAGGTGTTCTGGATAGACTTGTTTAGGGGACTCAGAGTCCGGGGTGGGAGAAAGACCAGACAGCAGATAATGCAGAGTGATTTATGTTCAGTGATGTGAATCAAGGTGACACAAAGCAAGGACATAGAATTTGATGTGGAGGGTCTTCAAACTACAGAGATGCTTGAACCAAGACCCAGAAAACAAGTACTTTCCAGGTTGACAGAAAGAGAAGAGCAACCTACGCAGGAGGAACCAAGAGTATAAAAAGATCCAAAGGAGGGATGGGGGAAGAGCAAGCGGTTCACTGTGGTCTGTCGTGTGGTCTCTTCCTGGAAAGAAACAAAACCTCTGTTGTTTGTAGAGAGCAAGGAAGCAGAAGGAGGCAGGAATTTCTCCATACTCCAGAAATCAATGGACAGGTCAATATATGACACAAATAGAGCAATCATCATTCATCCGCATGGTTAAGTACAGTTAGGAAGATACTTCTGTCAAAAAAAAGGTGTAACTGCGTTTCAGCGCCAAGTATCATGAACAATTTCACTGTGAGCTGAATGACTGCTTTTTCTCCCCACTTCCCAGACTGCATCAACAAGACTACCCTTTGTAGTTGGCTGCACACCTCACATTCACCTGGTTGAGGTCAAGGTGGTGTGGTCACCTAGGATGACAGTCATGGGGATTTGTATGTAAATCCATGTGCCTACTGGTGAATGACGACTCAGTGGCATAGTGGTAGGCCCTGTTTCACAAGGTCCCAGAACACTTCCCATTAAGAACTTTGAGTCCATGGTGCTTCTCCCCGCCTGCTTGCTTGTGTTGAAAATGCCCAGGAGTGCCCAACTTGCCCACTGAGAGGCAGGCGAGCAGCCATTTTTTCCCAGGCTTCCTTATTTAGCTTTGGAGATGGTTTTAAATAGGCAGGTGGTTGTTGCCATGGTTACCCCCATTACACCAGCGGCTAAATTTAGGAAGGGCCACAAGGGATAGGAAGAAAGCCTGATACCCGGGATTTGGAAATGTAAACGATATTATCAAACAAGGCTTCGTTTTACTGGCTGAACTTAGGTTTTCCAAAGAATAGTCACTGCTTGGCTGGATGCCCTTACCATTAAGGCCTGGTACTGGGCCCTCGGGGATAACCCTAAGGTTAAATCTAGGGAGTTGTAACTGTTTTGTTTTGTTTTGAACAAAGGAATGTGACTAATCAGAGCTAGAATTTCAGGACAAATGAATCTTTTGCTCTTTTGGTTTTCTGGACAATATTAACAAGAATTCTTAATCTGAGGTACAAGGGTTGCAGGAGCTCCGAGGACACCTTGAAATTGTATACAGGATATTGAATACACTTTTCTGGAGAGACTGTCCATAACTATCAGAATGTTCTCAAAGGGACTCAAAACCCTCAAATGGTTAAAAGTCACAGTTCTGAACCCTCTTTTGAGTCCTAAGAGGCAGCAAATTATGACTCAACTGTTGGGGTTTCAGGAGATTCTTCCCCTGGTGGCCTCTCCACACAGGTTGTTGCCAGGGAAGGTGGTTGCTTGCACAAAACCAAGTTATGTTCCCTAGTGGAATAGCTTTGTTAATGGAGCAGGAACCAGGCCCAAGGATGCTGGAAGATGAGCCAAGAGTGATGGACAAGGATTAAAAGGCCTTTAATGGTAGGGATGGGGCTATTTTTGGTACATTCTACTTCCTAATCATTAACAGGCTAATCATTGATTGCTAATTTAGGAATGCTATGAAATCTATCATCTCATTGTTGGCATAAACAACAAAAGAGAAATTTAATTCACTTGAGATTATCTAATGTGTTAGAAGGTGTTCTAGGATACAAGGGTAAATAAGACATGGTTGCTGCCTTCGAAGAATTCATAGTCTAGCAAAGAAGGAAAAATAATCCTAAAATATTTTTTACGAAAGGATTTTCTCACGCAAGACGGTTACGTTTTGTAGGTCATGTAGCACACAGGAAGCTGTACAGTATAAGGCGCTGACTAGGGCTGTATCCCAACATCACTTGTAAATGAATCATGTGGAGTGAAGAAACAGTGTTATAATTATGAGACCCAAACTAAGAACTGTCATTTCTTCAGTGCCTGTGAAATGCCAGGTGATAAACTAGATTCTTTAAATACATTAGAATATTTGAATCCCAAAATCACCCTACAAGGTAAATATTAACATTCCCATTTTACAGTTAAAGGAACAGAGGCTGGGAGAAGCTAAGTCATACAATTATGGTCATACATCTTTTTAAGCAGTGGATTAAGCCGACATGATTTAAGATAGCTCCTAACTCCAGAGTTCAAACTAGTTTTCTGCACCTGCTGTCTTCCATGGATTCCGTTTAGCAAACACCAACTGCATATCAAACATTCTGATGGTACTTTATACGTGGTCCCATCCAATGCTAGCATTAATCTGTAAGGGTAAGTGCTACTGTTCCCATTTTAGAGGTGGAGAAATTGGGGCTAAGGAGGGTGGAGCTGTTACCAGCTTGATCCACATTTATGGGTCATGTCTACGGGAAGATGCCTGCTGAGTTCCAAAGGGGGACTACGGGGGTACCACCACTCTTACTACCCGTGTGGTATGACTCGTCTCCCTGTCTGTGTCCACACCAAGGAGCTGGACTGACTACATGATGTGCATGGCTCAGTGCAAAGTGAAAATGTGGGACCCCTTGTTCAAAAGCCATTAAGAGTTTTAAGTCAGGGCCCTTCTCAGGGTGGGGCCCCGTGTGACTCTACAGGTCTCACACTCACAAGCTGGCCCTGACAAGGAGAGAGGAGTTAATGAAAAAAAGAAGACACATTTGCCAGGCCTCACAGAGTGGGGAGTTTTCAATAAAGGTAGAAGAATGGAGGAAAGAGGGTTCCAATTAGGGGGAAAGGGAGAGGGATTATCAGTCCCTGAAATAGGCAGTAGTCAGTGTCTGCGGATGAGCTGAAAAGGCTAGCAAAGTCTTCCAGCTATCCAAGAGTGAAGTTTCTGGATTAACTCTCTGTGAAGGGTTTTGTATGTATGGAACAGTTACATAAAAGCTCCCTACTTCCAATGTCACTGTTAATGAGTGTCCAGAAAGTGAAGTCTAACTATGGTATTTTTGCACTGTTGGTCAGAAACTCTGAGCACTTGAGGAATGTGTTATTCTAAACCTGTTGAGTGCCATCCACTTGAATATGTCCCTCAGCAGTTCAGGCTGAAGCAAGATATTTCCTGTTAGGTCCTTGAAAGGGACCGAAGAGTGCTTTATTTCTACCAGAAGCTGACCACCTTTCACAATAGCCCTTGGGCAATTAACAGGCTCTGGAGTGTTCGCTTTCTCAGAGCCAGGCCTGTGGAATAGTTGGTGAGGGATTCCCTACAAGCCCTAGTGAAGCCTGAGTTCTTAAGAGGTTGGAAATACATCTCACAAATAACTAAGCACTTAATAGGTATTTATAGAATGAGGCAGGAGGGTATAGTCTAAGTTGGCATTAAAACTTGGCTCTGCCGCTTACTAGCTGTGTGACCTTGGGCAAGTGACTTAATCTTTTTAATCCTTTGCTTCCTCCCCTGAAAATCTTGCAAGGTTGCTGCATTTTATGAGATAGTGTGTAAGTGCACAGCACCTAGTAGGTTCTCAGAAAGTGTTTGTTTTTGAGTATTGTTGAATGACAAGCATGAGGAAAGCATTGCCTTAAATTAGCAATAAAGCATTGACAATAAAAGGCTTTTCTGATGGGGTGGCAAATGGGATTCAGTTATAGAGTCTTTGCTTCATTAACATGGCCCTTGAACTGAAAAGTTGGAGGAGGCTCCAGCTATGATACATTGAATCTGTCCAAATCCTCCTTTTAGCGCGTGGAGGGATGGCAGTAATTCATTAGGATTGGGTTGGATTCTCCAGGACTGGGGCTTTAGAGAAAATTCCCTTCATTGGCTCCATGGATGTCCAAGAGGCAGAGGTCTGGGATCTGAAGACCGATTCTATGTCCACATGCCAAGTTCAGGCTGGAGGCAGGTTCGAGGTAAGGGTCACAGAGCCCCACTGACATGGGGACAGGAGGAACAGGGTGAGAGTGAGTAAAAGGCAGTTGCAGGGCCGGTGTCATGTGCCGCATGGATCCTTTGGGCTACCAGCTGGGGCCATGGAGTGCACAGTTGGTGGGTAGGTGGGTGGCT